GTGGTGTGTGTCCTAGAGTCGATCATAACCTTCAAAGACCTTGAGATCCCGCACTCTAGATCGATTCGAATAACCGTATAGTTGCTGACCCCTCGGGCGTGTTTTAGCAGAGCCTCATGGAAACGAGCGCCAAGAAAAGGATTGAACTATAAACTTTGGAGACTCCCCCTAGTTGTATCCGTACACGGTTGATGAGAGAGAAGGCAAAAGTCGAGACCGAATCCTTTTCTGCTCAAAGAAGAATCCAGCTCCGTCCTGCAAGTCCTGTGCGGTGTGCCACGAGAAAGTCAAAAAAGAGGAAGGCCAGCGGGCAGGGAGACAGGCAGCGGCATTGGACCCTGAAAGGGGCAAGTGTCAGTTTCAACGAACCATGACAGCGATTCTCTCCCAGCAGGTGGGTGAATGTTTATTCACCCTGGAAGGAGGCCCTGAAAACTGGACAGAGGCCCTGGATGAGAAAAGGGCCCCCCGCCCACGGGACTCGGATCTTGGGACGTCGCGGACCACTTCAGACGATACACTCTGGGGCTCGGGACGGAACTCCAGACGAGACACACGGAATGGGGGGGTTTGATTACGTATGTCCCTCCTGTGCCGAAGGTGGGATATTGACAACGACGACAACGACGACGACCACGTCGGCCACTACCGCCACCATCATCCCGCCGACCGAGGGCGCTTTTCGGCGAGTTGTAAGTTCGGTGGAGATTATGGAGCCCTTTTCACGGCAACGGTCGATAATCTCCGGGACAGCCGGTCTCTGCCATCCCGCCGGGATGCGATTGAGAAACCGGCATACCCGCCTTTTGCATGCGAGTCGCGACTTGCTTTGCTCACACGACACAATACCGAACGTGGAGATGCCAAGCAGTGGGACGCGGGCACTTGGCACCGAGGTCTGTACTCCGTACTGAGCTCATGGATACTCTCTGCCTCTCTTTCGCTCTCGAGGTTCGGAGGAATAAATTACCTCGCTAGCTTCGACTCCGGCTCTTGAGGAAACTTTCTGCCTTGGATCGGATATTTTTGCGTCGATAGTAGCCGTGGTAGCAGCCGCAGCAAGCAGCATTGATCAAGGCAGGGCGCCTGCTTTTGTTCGTCTTGGCCTTAGTGATGCTGACAATATCACAACTTACACGTTTTCCTGCTGCCGCGCATCACGCATCGCGGATCACGGACTTCTCGCCGTTCAATCTATATCCAAGCCAACGATCATCGTCCGTGTCCGTGTATCCATACTACGGTGCTACCGTAGTGTTCCCTTGGCCCCCCATCCTCGAGGGTCCATCCAGTGCAAGATTTCCCAGGGAAACAATGGTCGCAACTCTGCAGTTAAGGACGACACCCAGCTGATATCAGTTTACTAAAAATGGCCGAAAGGAGGGATGAGCCCGGGACGGGAAGGAGGCGAAGGAGCAAGCAAGTGAGGGCGGGAAAGGGGTGCGGGGGGGTAAGGGAGAAAACACCAGATGTAAGATTTCCAAAGTCACCGAAGATCAGGACAAGGACCAAGGGATGACCGAGAAAGCGACGAAACGTGCTCTATACGTTGCCCTTCTCTCACTTTCTTGGTCACAGTTACCGACTATCATTACACCACAATTACGAGTTTTGCAAAGTTCGGAGTCCCTTTCTCATTCTCATGCCCCACCCCTAAACCTTGTCTCCCTTTTCTTCTTCTGTGACCGCATCGTCAGATCGAAATTTAGAGTTTTGGTTCTCTTGGTTGGTTCATCCCGCAAAACCAAGCCCTTGCACCACGCGCTGGGGACCATTCGAAACGCAAATTCCAGACAATTGCAAGACGCCGTGGATACTTGGAATAAGGGGTTGGTTAGGGTTCAGGTTCAGGTGCCGCGTGTGGCGGTGGCGAAGAAGGAAAAGCCAAAACCAAAACTCGACACTTGCTTCCGGGAGGGAAAAAGCTGTGATGGAAATGAAGAAGGTTTTCCCTAGCAAACGAAGCTCAGCCCATGGGAAGCGAAAAAACGCACACCGTAATCTTCCTTGTTCCCTCTTTCGTGTTTGGCCCCGTGCTTGTGCGGCGTTGGAGACAAACCGAACAAGTCGTAGTCTCTTTGATTACCCATCTCTGACTACAAAACTACATGACCACTATAACCAGATTTATAGTTTAGTTGGACTCTTCAGCTCGGTTGCGCTGAAAAAAAAAAAAAAGGGCACCACCCCGCGATGATGAAGGAAAAGGACAAAATAGTTTCTGCCCACACGCCCCTACGAGTCCCCTGGTGTACACACAGTCTTCTCCCCTCATTCTCAACTCTTGGAGCCATCTCTCTCCAAAAAAGATCTAAGCATTCATCTTCCGTTCTCAAAATCGCCTAGACAAGTTTACAAGTCGTCTCCTTTAGCCAGATGTTGTTTTGACAACCGGAATCTACTCCGGAGAATTATTGTTCGTCCAAACAGCCCTCTTCCATGCTACACCCCCTAAGACTAAGACAGATAGCCCGGCCATTTTTTATGACAAGACAATAAGATATTGCTAGTTCCTACCACACTTAGTTACGGCCGTACGCGTGTACTGTCTCCCATGCTCGAGCTCACGCCCCCCTGCCCCTCTCCGCTCCCCCAAATACAACAGCTACAACGGCCCTGAAATGCTCACTCCCCCTTCTCGTTATGCCCTTGAACAAGCTGAACCTATACGCCCCTTATCAACCCAGCAATAATTAGACTCTGATAGTGCAGCACGGCACCGAATCCTCAAGCCACGGTAGAACAGCCCACGCCCCGAGCAAAATCCTGTGAACAAATATCAAGAACGCATGCTATACTTTCCCAAAACCTTGCTTGACCCTTTGTCCACGCCTCCCCCTCACCACCACTAAACCTACTCACGCCCCCCTGCCTTTACTTGTCCTTCTTTCCTCTCACCCTCGAGCATCATCTCCAAATATCTGAACGCCTCACAAGCAAGATCTTTCCCCCCCTCCCTTTGCCTGCCTGCCGGTTTCTGCCCGTCGTGCTACTTATGCTGTGGCACGGTTGGGGGAAACAACCATGGTTTAGGAATGTGGGAAGTGGGGCCAAGTGCGAGGGCAGATTTTCTTCCTGACTTGACACATCTTTTCTTGATGAAATGGAGCGAACAAAGGGAATTAAAGTTTATATCCCACATTCAGGTTTTTCTTCTTGTGTTACCTACTTCACCGCCGCAAAAGAATTGACTCAACTGTCTGCGTTGGTTATGGGATGGAGAAAAACAAATCTCATGTCCATTCCTTTCTGCCCGGGTGTCAGAGCAAGGGCGCAGGGGGCAAAAGGTTGTTGGTTCAAGTCATGTCGATATGCAGGATCACATCGACCTGAAGTCCGCATTCAAGTCCTATGACACGGAAAGCAGTGCTGTGCTCGTTCGTGTGGTGTGGGATGTTTATTATCCCTCTTTTCCACTTGCCTTTTTGATTTTGGCCCTTGACACGTAAAGTGAGTCCAAGACCTGCGCGGTCAAAACTAAAATCTCTCCCTTTTTTGTTGATTTTCCCTCTCATCATTTTGCCCAATCTATCTGCCCGTCCGACCACAGTCTGCTTTACTCTTGGACGAGACCCGTAGACCCGAGAGGAAAAAAAAAAGGTAAATCCAAAAGATATGGCAATGAAAGAGCGCAAAAAAAAAAAAAAAAAAAAGAGTTTAGTTGCACGGTCAAAAGAGAGGCTTGAACCATCAAACCAAAAGCCCCAAAGCTCCCCGTCCTAACCGATTTTGGACTCTCGTATACACCCAACTCGAAGGTTTTGTAAGTTTTGTGCAAACTTTGGGAAAATTTCCATCTGTACGTTCGCAAAGTGCGAGTGCGAGCGGAAGAGCGCTCGTCGTCATCCTCGTCCTCGTCATCAACAGGTCCCTTGATTTTACAAACCACCTATCCAAAAGAAAACTTAAACTCCAAAAAAGCCTATTATTAAAAGATTTGACTCGGCTGACAGAGACGAAGCCAGACACACAAATGAAAAGTGACGCGGGGCGGGGAGCAGCAAGTGAGAAAGAGAGCTTTGACAGTTGAGTTGCCCGCCCGCCCGGACGGGATGAACATGTCAATCAGCAAATGTCATGCATCTCAGCGCCCGCACATCTTTTTTGCCTTGCCAGTCAGAGTCCAACACTTCTTCTACGAAAGTAGGTAGGTACTCTGATTGCGCATCTTTTCCGGGGTTCGGTTGATGATGTCGATCGATCACTACTCCCCCTCCCCCCATTTGCATTACGTTCACTGCATTTTTGGGACAACATTGAATTGGGGTACGCTAGAGAAGGAGGGAGGGGCATTGAAGTAAAACTACACTACACCTCTGAAGCCTTGCGCTTGCATCTCAAATGCCCGTTCATTTATTTCCAATCTTGCCCTCTTTAGTGGTATGCCGCGAGACTATCCTCCGTGGCGGTGGACGGCGCCTTCGGAAAGAGATGCTTGACAAGGTGGACGGAAAAGTGAAGTATCAATCACAAATGTAAAAAAGGAAAAGGAAAAAGTGAGGGCGTGAACGATGCCACGCGATACGCGATGCGCCTTATTCGGTGGTGCAACGCTAGATCACCAGACCGGGGGAAAGAGGCGTGGGGAGGTTCGTCGTCGACGCCGAGTGCTGATAACCGCCCGTAGCAGTACCTATCAGTAGTCGTAGTTGTTCCCGTGAAGCGTCTCCTATTCCCGTGATTTGCTTCTTGTGGTTGAAAAAGGTGTGGTGGGATGGACGACGGACGGGTGTGTGTGTTTGGCCTAGACAGACTCTCAATCACATGTCTTTGTGACTACAGAACCCAAAGAGACGGGATAGCTTCCCTCCCTCTGTAGGGGACTTTCGTAGGCAGTCCTTGGAGGGTGTATAGGCAGAGAGGAGTTGTGTGTGGCTTGACTTGTCAATGATGACTACAACCCACCAAACGCAAAGGAGGCTAGAGCAAGAACGCCAGAGATGCGGATTTCATGTACGCGCCCCCTTTGGTAATTAAGGTTTTCCCACCTGTGGCCCGCCCCACCCTCCTCTTTGCTTCTCTCCGACTACCCTCGGGGCACACACGCCTCGTACTTCGTTTTGCCATGTCATCGATACCTGTAGCGGTAGGTACGCTTGCTTCTACACGCATCGTACTTTTCTCAAAATTTCATCTTCCACTTTACCGTCCCCTTCTATTTTCCTCTACTCCGTCCACCCAAAGGGCCTAGGCCTAGGCCATGGACGGCATGGACCAGGAAAACGCCAGCTGTCACACCATCTACTCCATACCCCTTTCAGCGTTTTGGTTTGTTCGGTACTGCATAGTCCAATCTGTAGTATTCGTAGTTTGGTCAGTTCTCTCTCCTGCGACAACTGTCAGAATATGGCTGGGTAATCGTTGCGGTGTGCATGTAACTCGTACTCTCTCTCTCTCCTCTGGAATGGGCCATGACCCAACGGCTGAAAGTGTATATGCAAGTTCACGCATCGATGCCCCATGGCAAGCTGTGCTTAACGACGGCGGGCTTAATAGGGCAATGTACCCAACGTGCCGTTGAGCCATATCACCACACCCCCTTGGAGAGCTGAACCGTCTGAATGGTGCAACACACCGAGAAAGACAAAGCTGTGTAAAGGAAATGAATGGCAGAGCAACCTACCGCAGCATCAACCAGCGGTCGGTCATGATCGGTTGACAACTTTGATACTGGCATCGGCACATCGGCACCGACACCGGCAGTAGCAATTCGCATGGGCGGTGGTCCATTATCGTCGATTCGCTTTGCACCGATATCACGTCCGCCCAGGTGCTTCGCATCGAGCCCATCAGGCGACAAGGCACTATCTCTTGCAGTGTTGCTGTCGCCGCCGCTGCTGCTGTGCCTGACCTGTTCGTGCCTTGCCATGCGTGCCTACCCAGCAGCCTGTCGCCCCCCCCGCATGCCCGAGGCCATGCTTCTGCAGGAGATGCCTCATCTTGAAGCAAGCAAGAGAGAGAGCCAGCAAATTTTCGTCCCTTGTAGGGTTTACCCCTTGCTTGTGTTGTATGGCATCAGCAGGCTGCAGCAGCGGCGGCGGCAGAGCAGGCCCCCTCGCAGAACGCAGTATCGCGGCATCGCTAAGTTATCCAAACGTACCTGAACCTAGAGGCTTTCCCCCAGTTCAAAGTCCGTAGGACTTCCCGTAGGAAAGTCAAAATAACTGCACATGGCTGAACCGGCCTAACCCCGGTTTGCAGGCTGCAGGATAGGACCAGCATCGCAGCAGTGTGTTCCCAAGAAAAGAAGAAAAAGGAACTCCCACCTTCAACTCCCGAGTCCAAGAAACCTTCTAGAACAAAACATACGATCGAACAGTGCCCAGCGCAACCGCAGCATATGCTCTTACAACTTGACGGAGCTTCTTTAGACTTTTGACTTTTCGGTTCTCCAGTTTGTCCTGTCGGGCGTGTGGGCTGCCTGGCAGGTCCAGCTGGTGTCTCTTGTCTGAGTTGTCTCTCTCTGACAGTACCAAGTCGGTCTTCGCCTATTGAGTTCGACTCTGCCTCAAGCTTCCAATCTGGCCTCGCCGAGCTGCCTCACACTCGCCGAAGCGCCCCGTAACAGTATGTATTCGTATGCTGCGCCGTGAAGAAGGGCTCGTAAGGTATGGTCGTGTGATGCTGACCCTAATCACCTGCCCCGGCCCTGTATCCCGCTGACTGGCATACACATGCCGGCCCGGTGATGTACGGTGAATTCGTACCGATACATCTACAAGACGCACGATTTCTTTCACACCACAAATCCCCCCTCACCCTCCCCCCGGCCAACGTCACGTTGAGACTCCGCTGACCTCCGCGCTTCGCGTTACGTACTGCGGTACGCTCCCGTGCGGTGCGTTGCGATGCGTTGCGAATCCATGGGACAAAAACGGCACAAAGAGAGACCCGCATCTTCACCCACGGCGGCTCTAAACCTTCTTTTCACTGCCCACCCGAGGCCCGGGCCTGGGGCTGCTCATAGGCTCGGAAAGGGCGTGTAATGGGGTCACCTCCCGCCAGGCACTGGGAGATCTTCTATGGGGACGACAAGTCTTGAGATCATCCTCCAATCACCGCCCCCGGTTCACCTCAACTTGGCAGTTGATGTGCTCTCTAGGTAGAACTTCGGCTATTTATCGTAAGAGTACTATACCAGAATGGAGGGGTGGGCGTGAGTCAAGTACCGTACTCCATATCACAACCACACAACCAAGAGCCAGGCCTGTCATGGAATGTTGGAGGAAAGCTTGGCCATCTTGGTCGGTTAATGGGCGACAGCGCCAAGGAAATCCAACCCGATTCTTGCGAAAAATAGTCGCGAACTACGAGTACGAAGACACGAGGCGTGTCCCGCTCTTGGAGCTTGTGGCCAAGCCAGCCGCCAACCGCCAAAGCGGCTCCCACGAAGACTTACTCGCTGCGACCTTGCCATTCCTGTACAAGAGGCGGCCGCCCCGTAGCGTGGTATTTTCGACTGGAGACCGCACTACCGTGATCGATCGCCCGGACACCAGGTTCGATGGGGAAGCACGCTGCAAAGGCAACTTAGGCAACTGAGATGGTGAGCAATGTTCTCAAAGCTTATCTGTGACGGAATGGACATCTGACGATTATAAAGTTTATGGGGGATGGATGCGAGTGCGCGTAGTGTCCGAGGGAAGGTGAGAGTGAGTGAGTGAGAGTGAGGAAGAATGATACCGGTAATCACTAATCGGTGGCCAAGGCAAAAGGAATATTAAGGTTTCTTAATAGTGTCTTTGTTGTTGTACATCGACGATCGCCATAGAGCTCCACGGCGATGACCCCTATTTTCGTTACTTGAAATGCGAAAAAAAGAGATGGTGTGGGAATGGAACTGGAACAGACCGATACAAGCGCCACACGCCCCTCCATAGTTTGTCATTCCCGCGTCCCTCTTTGAGCTTTTCCGTGAGGCGTGCGGCGTGCCGTGTGTGCGTGCTTGAGGAGGGTCCCTCTCTCCCAGACTGCCGGGCTTCCTGTGATGTATGAGGCTTGGATCGAGCGCTTGCAAATCTCATTAGGCTTTCTGTCCATACGTGTTGTTGCTGCTGAGAGGCTGGTGCGGCGCGCTAGCCTCCCTCACTGCTGGGAAAGCCGCGTAACTGCGTAATCTGCGTATCGTCTGTGGTTGGTGTGTTTTGGACAGTCGTCTCGACGGGCACGAGATGGAATTGGAGGAATGATGAGATGGACGACAAATCTGCCCAGGTGGAGCATATCGTCCGGGAAAGGCAGTTCCCTCCAAGACCCCCCAGTACTACACCGTAGGCGAGACAGAACATGGGATTTGTGATTTGCCGTGGGATTTTTTGGGGGTCTTTTTAGACTTTGGTAGTGCATGACATGCCTTCGAGCTCTCGCACAGGGGCTGGTTCCCGTACGAGAAGGAGGAAATGTCGTGCCATGAGCAGCAGATGAACAGTCAGTCACCCTCCAACAAGCTTCCCTAGCAAAGAGTGGAATTGGCATGAAAAGTCGCAACGAATGGCCAACAAGGACGGAAACATTGCTGGTCTCGAGATCATACAGTACCGTAAGTACTTGGTATTGGCACTCATTGATCCTGCCAGAGCGCGATGCGATGTAACTCAACCTGCCAACCAGATTCACTGTAGATCGCTGCCGGGGAAAGGGGAACGAGATTTGGCAGGCGCGCCGTAAAGCTTATCCCAAGGGATGTAATTGTAGGCTGTGCTAACTCTATTCCTCCCTGCCTTGCACGCCTGGCAGCAGGCTGTCTTGTCGTTCAGGCTGGTTTCTGGCTGGTTTCTGGCTGGTTTCTGGCTGGTTTCTGGCTGGCCCTGGCTTTTCCATCTCTGTACCCCGGTCGAGCAGGCTGCACCGAACCATAGCTGATAGGTTCGTATGGTGGACCGCGTACGAATACACTACACTAGACCGGGGGTGAGAAGGGGGGGAGATGACGGCTATTTCGCCGTTTGCTTCTAACCCCGAAAGTTTAAAAAGCAAATCCCGATTCGACAACCTTGCCAACTTGCCAACGGCAGTGTAAGGTGAGACACTTTCTCACCTCTGCCACAAGCGGCTAGCAGAGCTGCCAGTGCACTTGGGCCAGCTCAGTAGTGCTAGAGTAGCCTGAAGCCTCCCGCCTTTTCGTCCGTGCCAGATTCCAGCTGGTCGGTGTAATCCGGAGTCCGACAAGGCATGTTTGTCCATGTTTGTCCATGTCTGTTCAGCACCTGCTCACGGTTGTTCTTGAGTGCCCTATACTAGTCTCTTGGAAGTTGAAACTTGAGAGCCTCCACCTGTAACTAGTGCACAGTTGCCGATCTTAATTGGCTTCCCCTAAAGGATTTGAGACGGTCAAAACCTTCTCACGGCCATCGGCAGACTTTTCTTCGTCGGAGAGCACCGTGTTGTTGCTTGCTCTCACTCTCCTTGTGTATAGCTCCACGTCACGTGCCCCATCCCGGCCGCCGCTGAACCGGAAGACCTGCCGAGTAGTGCCAAATGCTGAACTGCTCTTCATATCTGCCGGCATGTTGAAGACTGCCGTTCCGTTCCGGAACGTCGAGAGTTTGGAAGTCTTGTATTGGCTGCTTTGTCCCTGCCTGTTGCGGGTTGGGTTGTTGTAAGCCTCAAGCCCGGTCGGGTATACACCGACACCTTCGACTTCCAACCTCAATTCTTGGAAAAGTGTTGCGTCCAGGCTCAGGTCTCCGTTCGCTGACATGTTGGCAGTTTGATTGACGATCAGCGGGTACGAGTATGTTGACTTGTATGTGCCCATGCCCGTCAGTTCGTCTGTCCCGGTGATGATGAAGTTATTGAAGCCATTGCGTCCAAATTGGCCTAGCGTCGCATTGTTGGTGTACGACAACTTTTGAGTCCATTCAGGGTTCTTGGTCCCTTTCTTGGAGACTATCTCGCCTTTGACAGAGATCGTTCTCGTCACATCCAGATTAAATGCAAGAGTTTCGTTGGCGCCTGTAGAGTTCTTTCCTAGGGCACGACCAGTGATTTTGATATCAGGGTCGGAGATTGACACAGTAGGCGGTTTCCCAGTCGTGATAGAGCCCTCCTCGTCTAGCCATAGAAAAACTTTGCCAGAGACAACCCAAAAGTTGCCAACCGTGGTATTCACGAATGTTTTTTGCCCGTCATCCGCGAGGCCGGCGACTTTGATCTTGAATGTGTGCTCCTTGCCATCACTCAAAACCGGGAGCCAAGGCGAGATGTCGATCTCATGCTCTCGTAAATCATAAGCGTCGAGACCTACGAGCGGCCGGTGAAAGCTGGGAACGACGCCCCCAGTGAAAATAACAGGGAATGGCCATTGTACCCCGGCTAGCTGATCATCAATGATGACTTGCACCTCACGCCATGGGCTTCCATCCGGAGCCATACCGACGGTGGCATTGAATGCTGCGGCATCGCTCTGAAGGACATTGCTCCACCAGAACTCCTCGGTTCCTTGGCCATTGGCCGAGACGGAGAAGACTGCTCGATTAGCATTGCGCGGAAATTTGACAATGCTCACGGCTTCACGTTCAGGCACTTGCCAGGCACTGCCTGTGTTGGAAGACGCGTTCCGTGATGAGATGGGGATGATGAGGTCAGCCGGGGTTGCACTGTCGGTTTCGACGTCGCTTTTGAAAAAGGTTGCGGTCAGGGTGCAGTTGAAGGGGCCCGTAAACCTGTCGTCTTGGCGGCGCGTTAGCCGTTTTGGCCCCCACTCCGAAGTCTCCGAAGGAAGGATTCGGGGATGGCAGGTCACTTGGTTTTGAAGCCTGGAAGAACTGGGATACGGGACATGGGCTTACCGATGAGGTTGGGTAAGTCGAAAATGATCTTCTGAGGAGTCTTCCAGAGACTAAGATACGGGGTCATGTCTTTCCAATAGGTCCAGATGATTCCGGGCGGCGCTCTGGGCTCCGCAGTGGATGTTCTCCATACCTCCGTGTCGCCGAGATACAACAAAGCCAGCCGATCCAGTTGGCGGCCTGCAGAGGTGGCAGTAAAGTTTACAATGACGCGGTTGAAGTCGCAGCCAGGAGGTTTGTAGTCGCCTATCAACTCCAAGTCAGGATACCTATTTCCGGGTTATCCACCACGCATTTGATTTGCGTCGGTGGTGGTGTGATGAGAATGCCATGCCACTTACCGACGAAGGGCTTGTCAAAGCTGTTACCAAAAGAGTGGTCCATCAACTGCACCTTGCAGTCTTTGGGGTCCGTCGTCGGAGATTTACCCTTGCCATCATCAAAGCTGCCCGTCAACGCCTGGTAGACGGGGCCTTTGGGACCCAGCACTGGCTGGGCAACTTGAAAACAGTCGAGCGGCTTCTGTTGTTGGCCACCCTCTGCATCTAGCAAAGTGCCCATTGGTGCCGGAGTATCGGCAATGATTCCCTGCTGGCGGGTGACATAGTCTGACAAGGCCGCTGCTGGAATCAGATTACGTGAAGCCACGTAGCCCGTGTTCAGTACGAGAACAAAGAGAGACAAGGCAAGCGCCCGAGTGACTGGCCGAGGGGCCATCTTGGGACCCTGTAGAGGGTTCAGGCTCGACGCCTCACTCTGCAGCCTTGAGGCCAGAAGTGTCTCTGGGTTGGGTACGGTGCGTGTCTGGTGGTTGGTGTCAGAAACCGCGTGACGGAAGAGTAAGTGTGAGCAAAACGGCGCATCGAGTAAAGCCACCAAATCCCAGAGGGTCGGGCAGGGAGAGGAGGAGTGGGGAAGCATGGGGAGGAATGCGAGCGAACCCGGTGAACGCCACTCAAAGGCAAGTATGAGGGTCAAGCGCCAGTGCAAGCAGCTGAGAGGCACTAAGAAGTAGGCGGCGCCATGCGCCAGACGAGATTTGGTAAACGAAGAGACGGGATACAGTACGTAGATCCGCATCTATTGGAAGTATAACGGTTTGGGCGGCTGGCTGGCAAGGGAGCGGGGAGGGCTGTAGGCCGAACCACAATTGGCTTGGTCTCTGATGCTTTGTGGACGTACCTTGCGTGCTGCTTACTGAGATGATGCTATGGCGCCGAGGCGGTAAACAAGGTATCGAGATGATGAGGTGGAATAGATACGACAATCCGCGCGCGGCGCCGAGGCAGACAGCGAGAATGTAGAGGTAAACGCCGCTACGAGACGATCCAACTCCAACAGTGTGGGTGATGATTGGCAAACGCAGAGTGCCGTCCAAAGGTAAAAAGAAGACCGCGCGAGCTGTGCTATGATGTTGAATCCGATCAAATGAGCAGTAGACGGAGTCGGTGAGGAACAGATCTAATGGTCAGAGGCCAAGACCCAAAGAAAGGATTTGTCTGGACAGACAACGGGCGGGCGGAATTGGCTAAAGTAAATGTAATGGACAAGTCCACCGCTGTATCGGGAAAAGGTACAGCACTAGAGTGAAGCCACCATTCGATATTGAGTTATGCTTTGACGAGGCTGTTTCGCGAGGAGGACGAGCTGGCGGAGGGCAAATCACAGATGGAATAGCAAAGGTGGACTTCGTCTGGGGAAGCAGTGGGAGTCAAAAGAAAGCCAAGAAGCGCGAACCTGGAGAGAGCTGCTGTGGCTGTTGTCGTGTGGTTGGCTTTGTAAGTGTGTGTGCCTGTGTGTCTGTGTCTAATGTGTATCAACTTTCCCTTTCCTCCTTCCGCCTGCATTCTTTCAGCTCAGGTACCTGCCTCAAAACCATGAGGAAGAATTTCATGCCGGACTTGAGGTAGGAGCTTCCCTCCACCTCCGCAAGAGAGACTGGAGAGGGAGAGAGGGACAAAATCAAGCGGACAGGAAGGAGGAACACCCGACGGGAAAGAAGGGCAAGAAGCAAAAAAAAAAAAAAAAAAAAAAAAAAAAAAAAAAAGTCTGAACCTTCTCAAACAAACTGGCGGCTGCTTTGCGGCAGGAGCATAGAGCTCTTTCAAGTTACAGGTGCTTTCCTTGCTGGATTTCCTATTCTGTCACCAAATCGCACACTCCGCAGCTGCCAGACCATGCAAGCCAAACAAAACGCCGAATAACCTTAAACACGCAGGAGCGCAAGAACCAGCCCGGGATCCAAGCTGACCTGAGGCAACCACCATAACCACAGCCTTTGCGCCTGCCTTCCTTTCCGAAATCAGAGTACCTACCAATTATCCGTACAGACACACGATCTTGGAAATGCAAATTATTTCAGGAACTCAATGACTACCACATTACGGAGTACTGAAGGGATCATTGTCAGGCACGTTCATGGATTCTAGTCACAAGAAAGATGATCAAGTAAATGTTGATGGGGATGAATAACATAATTGTTTCTCCAGTGTTTACACTGCCGTCCGGAATGCCACCTTCTGGAGTATGTCTATGATACATGAAAAGTACAAAATGCCATGTCGCATGTGTCATGTTTGTGAATAAGAATGAACATGAATAGAATAAAAAAAGTTTTAGCCTGCGCCAAAAGTGCAACTCGAAAACGTGTGATGACATCACACTTGCCCCATCTCTTCTCCGGCGATCGCTCCATGATTGCTTTCCCTCCGCACTAAGACATTTGTACATCGCCGCTCATTCTCGACAATAATCCCAAAGTTTAAACTGACACACAGTATCGCCCATCATCCGTCTGGCTCGCGCGGTCCCCGATTCAAGACACTTGACTTGCACAAATCCACTGCAAAAGTGAAATGATACCATACTTTGTCGTGTCATGAGCGTCTTAGCGGTTCTTCACGTAGACGCCTCGAGCGCTGGCCAAGCCACACTTGGAGGAGCGAGGAAAAGGGTGTGTGAGGAGCAGCAAAGTAGTACAATGCCGCCGGTGGCTGGAGTGGCTATCGGCAACCAGTGATCCGAAACCAACCCAGTCGTCCCTTGAACACCGCCAGTCCAAGTCGTCTCAACTTGAAGCGATGATGCCGCTGCCAGGCCAGCCGTGCGGTAGGACATACTTGACCGTGGCAGAGTATCATCGCTGTGCGAGTTGCTGCAGCGCTTGTCGTCCAAGTGACATCCATACAACAGCGGAGCGGTCGTTCGATGTCTGTGCAAACCTGCTCTCGCAGTGCTGTAGAGGCGCTAAATGATGACCAGTCGTGCAGTTCAATGTCTTCGCGTACTCGCTTGCTTCGGGAGTTTAGCGAGCCACCAAAAGGCTGAGGCAGTCAGAACCGAATGGTAGGCAGCAATGTGATGATGCATGTCGCAACAGGTATTCGCATGCCTGCAGTCGATTTCAAGACATTGAACCAGGCTGCAGGTTCACTATGTCTCGCACATCGGGACTCTCGATGAGCCAGCCCGTGGATTACTGGCTAACTCCCGGGTCCGAGTTGCCTGCCGGAACCTTTCCCATTCTCTTCCCTCCTGGCCAAGTGCGGGCTACCACCTGCGCTTTGACGTCCGCCGCGCTGGATGTTGGGGGAGCGCGGAGCAGTCTTAGGAGGAGTGGGATTGGTGAGAAGGTGGAGGTACTTTTTTTTTGGCCCTGGTCTTGGAGAAAGGGAAAGGGGAGTAAGAGGACGCTTGAATTCGACCCACTTTTCCGTCGTTGTTGCAACGCCCCGGAACAGGGATTTGGTCTGATAAGTGGGTGCTTTTCGGGTATTAGAACGGATATATGCGTCTGGTGGATTTGGTGGTGGGCTGATGAGATTATGGGACGGATAAGGGGACCGAGGCGCGCAGACAGCCAAGACTGGATTCTCGGGTACGGCAAACACCTTACCAGGGCCCTGGCGGAGTATGGCGGATTCGGATGCCTGCTTGGAATACAAGCTGTGGCGAAGGCGAATAGATACCATGTCCGATGTTGGCTACTTCTTCCACGGAAGAGGATATGCGGGCGCCGGCTGAGAATCCCCGGGGTAGTGGGCAAAGCTGCGTCCACAGCGAGATGTACCTCCCAATGTGCATGTCGACAAACGAGAGTCGTAAATCGTGTAAACCCTTGGGGTGCAGCTCCTAAGTGTGTATGCGGTGCTTCCCGTGTACAAAGTCGAAGGAAATGCCAGACTGGGAGAGCGAGACTCGCGTTTGGTGTGTGAGAGGATATGTTACTTGCAGAACTGTTGCTTCGTATACAAAGCTCCAGATGCCAAGTTACATGCCCGGTCACGCGCAACTGTCAGGTTGCGCAGTGGACCAGTGTATATTGGTCCCTTAGCAAAGTCGAGGGCCTGGGATTCATGCGCGGGCGTTATCCCAGTAGCGCTTTCTTGCGGCCATGGCGATCTTGTTGCCCATGAAGCGGTGCTGGAAGTAGTTGAAGACGGCGAACTCGTCCCGGTTGAGGACATAGGACTCGGGCTGAGCGGCGACCTTTGCCCAGATCTGGCTGATAGCGCTCTCCAGGATGCTGCTAACAGTCGGGTCTGAGGCTCCGTCTTCGCTCTCTCTGGCGATCTCGAGGGCCTGCGCGACGCTGGCTGAGTCCTTGAGCGAAGCTGGCGTCACCGAGACGGTGTTGCCGACGTGAAGGCTGTGACCCATACTGCTGGCGAGGCTGCTGAGGAAGGGCAAGTCGGTACAAGGGCGGCTCGAGGAAGACAACGGTCTGAAGGGAAGGTAGAGGGACTGCTGGTGGTGATCTCCCTGGGGTGTGATGGACAGCATCGTAGTTTATAGAAGACGAGGTGTTGTGTATATATATAATGGCGAAGGCGAGTGTTGATCTTTGGTGAAGAGGCGAATGTGTCCAAGAAGGTAAGAAGGCTGGGGAGGGTGAGAGATGATATATAATGTGATGGGCTGATCCGATCTGGTCTAGGTGACGGGGAGGGGCGACGATATTTAATGAGTAGCGGGGACCAGCAACGAGGTGTAGGTTGTAGGTACAAGAGCCAGAACCACGGATGCTGGGTATCTCCAATAAAGAGGCGCGCACAGTTGTTTGACGTTGTGCCTTGGCTTGCGTTGTCTATTGCAGGGGAAGGGCTGGAGCTGGGTGTTGCTGTGGATTCGATGTGCGATGCAAATGTACCGATCCGAATAGGACAATTCCAACCCCGGATTAGACGGTTCTCTTATAGGAACTGGTCTTGTCACCACGGATGAGGGAGCGGAAGGGCAGCTCAGGACAGGTACGGGTACGGATAGTCAGGCATGGGTTGAAAAGTATAATCATCCGTATAGAAAGTACGTATCTGGCAGGGAGTGTGGGATTCTGAGTTTTAATTGGGGGGAGTGTGAAAGGAAAAGGCCCTGGGGGAGTGTAATGAGATAGAGTGACAAGTGCAGAAAAAAAAAAACAGTGTGCGGGAGAGTCAGAGAGTGTGGGTGTGAGAAGGCGTGTAAGTAAGGTGTGGGATCAAAGACGACGGACGGGTGAAGGGTGAGAAAAAGCTAGGCCCTGGAGTGTGAGTTGAGAGGCGTGGGAAGTGGGAGTGTGAGTGTGTGGTGTGCCGTGAGAGAGGTGTGCGTGGGTATGCGTGTAAGTCATCAGTCAGTATCCGTAGGTTGAGTTTCTCAGAGGGAACGGAAGGTTGTCAGTTCCAGCCCAGTCTAATTCAAGTCGTGGGCCGTGGCATCAGCAAAACGAGACGAGGAAACAGATGTGCGGGTCACTCTCCTCTGTCGGTTGACAGCCGACCTGGACTCGCAACAGTAATGCGACCTGCATCCCGTCACCAAGAGACTGGGGGCTTCGTTGCAAGCATCCAGCCGCCATGCAAAGCGTATAACGTGGCGGCATTCATTAGCCTCGTACTGGGTCTTGGCACCTAGAGGATAGACTGGGTAACTGCTGGCTGGCTGTGAACCCAGAAGTGACAAGAGGAAGGTGGAAAAATAAAAAAGGACACAAATTGCATGGGGTGAAAAGGACACCTCCAATTACGCCGTGGGGAGGTGGTGTGGACAGCAGCGACAGATCCCAACCCGCGAAGAGTGGGGAGATGTGATGAGGTAGATGGTCCTCCCACGAACATGGAGAAGGGAGGGCGTGTAACAGCAAGGTGGGGATCTGGAAGGGTGAAAGTGAAGGGCAAGGGACAGAGGTGTTGGGGGAAGAGGGAGGGGAGGGGGTGTGAATGTGGTTCAGCAAGAGAAAGGTTAAAGAACCCAGTAAGCGGCGATGAGGAGGAGGACGACAATGACAACTTGGACCGACGGTAGGTATTGACTGACTGACGGAGGTCGACGACGAAGGAACTGAACTCTAAGAGAAGCTTGCCTTGACCGGGAGACCATCGGTGTCTCCAATTTAGTCACGAGTTGCAGCTTGTTCTCAAAGTCCCTTAGACTTGCAGCCACCCGTCAGCCGTCAAAACCGTAACCCATCCAGTAGCTCAAAACATTAAATGCTGAGAATCTACTTACCAGGAAGGATTGATAGGAACGAGCCAGTGCAAAATCCCCATAAAGCAGCAAATGCGTAGAGTATTCCGGCTGACTGGCCTCCGAACGGGACGAATAAGGCTCCGGTAAAGATCAATGAGAGGCAAGTCATGAAGAGTATGACGTCAAAATGGCCTACGTAGTCACCCGCAAGTCCAGGCAGTAGGCGGCCTAAGAATGAACATCCGTTGAGGATTGATACCAAAGTATAACCCATAGCGGACGGAAGGCCAGCCTTGACCGCAAAAGTTGGCAACAGCACGCCCACGCCAGTGATAGAAAACTCGTACAGGAAAAACCCGAGCGTGATGAAAACGAAAGGTCCTGATCGAAATGCGTCAAAGTTGAGTGCGGCTGATTTCTTCTTCGACGAGACCGCTGCGGGTAGGATCAATCTGGGAAACGGCAAAAGGAAAAACATGCCGATGGCCATAAGACCCAGGGTCACGAAGCCCATCACCCGATTAGACCAAGGCCAGCCCAAAGCCGGGAAAGCCCGGCGAAGGACCAGTGGAAAGGTGATGCCACCCAATGAAGCTCCGGCCATCGCCGCACCCATTGCAAGGCCTCGACGACGAATAAACAGCTTGCCCACTGCTGATATTGCGACAGTTGAGGCTACTGCGGAGGCAATGCCTCCCAAAACACCTAGGCAGAGGAAAATTTGCCAGTAGTTGTTGCACTCGGCGAGGAGGAAGAATCTCGCGACTGTGAGCCCGATCGCAGTCGGCGCCAGAAGCCTAGAACCATAGCGATCCATCAAAGGACCGACCTGAATGCCACATAGTAGCGAAACAGCAGTGTCCAGGCCCGTGATCCATCCGATGTCCTGTGCAGAATAGTCGCTCAACTGGTTTAGTTGTAGGAAAGATTGAACAGTTCCGATCGATTGAGAAAATCCTGGACACTCGTCAGTCGGGTCTAATTAGAGGATGAAAACGGCGCGGCTAGCCTATGGCCGAACTTACCGTATGAGCACATCAAGAAGAGCGCAGCTCCACCGACACAAGACCATCGTAGAGTTTCTGTTTCATCCCTTGTGGCATCGTCGTTGACGTTGGATATATCGTTGGCTTCGGTTTCTGGACCGATTGGTATCAATGTAATCGCCAATGTTGGGCCAGAAGACTCCCGTTCACCCATATTTAATAGGCTAAGAAAGCTAACTGATGAATAATTGGCTCGACTGATGTTGTAGGCTTAGTGTAATAGCTGAGTACTGGTGTTTTTGGGCAAGGCCGTTGTCAAGTGGTGAGAATCAGGGCTTTCCACATAAAACCTATAAAGCCAATACCAAATGCAATGTTTCTACCCATTAATACCCATAAGCGCACTGCCAAAAAGAAAGAAAAATTCATTATGCGTCAGGTGCGCCCGACATTCTGCGAGAGGCGAAGACAAAGACTTTGGGTAAGGGTCCAGAAGCATGCCAGTTCAAGTGACCCACTACAAAGACTTTTTTTTCGCTTCTTGGTTGGTCTACTTTCGGTCATTTGTGCTTCTCAAGACCCTCAGTTGCTCTCGAACTCTATTACTGATTCGCAAGATGGCAGAGAGGAGTGAAGCTCTATTAAAGCCCATATGGCAGTCTTGGACGCATCAACAAGTTGAAGTAAGCCCGATTTACTTTGGATAACCCCATGCATCTCAATCAAGGTCAACCGCACACGAAGGCCTTGGGTCCGGGTTCGGACCTAGACTTCACATTGTACAAGCTTGTTATTAGTCGATGGGTCCGGCCATTGCGATTCTAGTGTAAGGCGCACTTGACACATCCAACGCTGGGCCAATCATGTAGAGCGCTTTGGTGGATCCCGTGTCATGTCGACGCATGAAAGTGCGGATAGACTTCCGACGACTCTTCCACTCTTGAGCAAAACAAAGTCCAAGTCTAGTGACTCCCCTGAGGGAATGAATACGCATCTCACGTTGGACATTGTTTCTTCATATCTTGATACGCCCTATTGATTCAATCACGCCTTATCGATTCAATCACGCCCTATCAGCCCGGTCTTTGGCAGGGGCTTTGACACCCTTGACAAGTTTCACTGCTCCCCCGGATTTTGGCAGGGGGGGTTGTTGCTGCGACTGCCGTGCTGGAATTGAGACTCGACAGGATGGATAACTCGGATGCAGCTAATACTTCTTCGACTGTGAACACATTCGTGAACCTCGCCGAGATCTCCCTGCCACCGGAGCCCAGGGCCAATCTCGCCATCGAAGACCTCGCCGTCGATGAAGCTCTATGTTTCACGCCTGTTGAACAATTTAGCGGTGAAAGCTCCCCCTTCGTTTTCGACGGAGCCCTTGACTACATCAGCGACAATTTCGAAAGCGGATGGGCGACGCCCTCGACGTCTTGTGCCAACTGCACCGCATGGGGCTATCAATGCCAGCTCCCACAACAACCCCAACCTCAAGACCGCTGTATATCCTGCGTGTCTCTCGGATGCAACTGTACTTTCTTAGATACCACGCCGAACTTCACTGGAGATGCTTTCAACAACCTCATGGACGATAACCGTATAGTTTCAACCAATGTCCAACAACTCCCGACTCCAGAGGCCTCGAAGAGGTCAAGCGGCTCGTTCGAGCCCCTCAACGTTTCCACTACATCGACTCCTCCACCACCCAAGATTGGCACGAGATTCTCTCGTGACTCAACTCGAATATTGAGACAATGGCTCTCTTCCCACGGCCACCATCCGTATCCAAACGACGAGGAGAAGAAGGTTCTGCAGCACCAAACAGGTCTCAGCAAGATCCAAATCACCAACTGGTTGATCAACGCTCGTCGCCGCGGAAAAGTACAAGGCCGTCATCGATCTACGTCACCATACTCGGGAAACTCTGGTACTGGGACGAGACCTATCGACGTCCCCGCGAGACCAGGAACACCAGCTCCTAGAAGTAGTCCACACTATCAGGGTCTGAATCCCCTCGAGCGATGGGTCGACTCTCCTCCAGAACACGAGCCTGCTACTGTTGGCGATATCGCACGTGCCGTGGCATCTACCCACGCAGGATCTTCGGGTAAGTTTCCAAGCTTAATGAGCGACTCTTCGTTGTGTCAGTGTCAAAGGTCGAGCGCACATATCAAAGCTGATCTCTCGTAGCCGCAGACGATAGCTTCAATGCTAGCTTCACCGACGAGCCAGCACGATCTCTGTATCACACCTCGTCAGCCAGTAGCGCTGGAACCTCAAGCGGTGGCTCATTTGCTTCTGCCTTCTCCCACGTTTCCAAAGACTCCGTTTCTGTTCCGCGCCCCGCTGTTCGCAGTCGAGCACGGCAACGTAGACGCCCGAAGCGAACTTCCCTCGCACATCCTCGGAACCAGTACCAGTGCACATTTTGTACGGAGACATTCAGAACGAAACATGACTGGCAGCGTCACGAAAAGTCTTTACATATGCCCCTCGAAAGATGGGTTTGCTCACCTAAAGGACCCCGAGCCGTCAATCCTGATACAGGTCAAGCATGTTGTGTTTTTTGTGGAGAAGCTGAGCCTACTCAATCGCACATTGATAGTCACAACCCCTCGTCTTGCCAGGAACGAACGTTCAACAGGAAGGACCACCTCAAACAGCACTTACGTCTGGTACACAATGCTGGGCTTCTTGACTGGTCCGCCAAGCTCTGGAAGATTACCGTCCCGGAAATCCAGTCTCGTTGCGGCTTCTGCGGCGCATCCCTCGATACTTGGGGTGTCAGGACTGACCATCTCGCGGATCACTTCAAGATGGGGTCCGACATGGCCAGTTGGAAAGGAGATTGGGGTTTCAACGACGCAGTCCTAGATATGGTCGAAAACTCCGTTCCACCCTGTGAGAGAACTTCATACTGTGCCGCGGATGCCTGAGCTAACTGAGTTACCAGATCTCATCGAATATGAAAGATTCTCTCCGTTCCCCTATCAAGCAAGCGGCGTGCCTCCAGAATCGCCTCGTAGCGCATACGAGTTGCTCACGCTGGAGCTCAACCATTTCCTACGACTGTTCTTCGACAGGACAGGGAACTTGCCCAACAACAGAGAAATCCAGTTTGAGGCTTGCAGGATCGTCTTTGCGTCGGAAGTCTCGTCACCGGAGGGTGACAAGGGTGCGAAACCCGAGTCGTGGCTGCGAGATCTAATCACCTCGTCAGAAGATCTCACTCGCGAGGCTCGATTTGGGCCGATAAGATCGCCAGCCGAAAGTATGATGTCTGTTCTTCAGATCAAAGGCAAGCGCAGTCTCTTCGATGAATGTCCCTGTGAATCGCAGCTTGACACCTTTGTTGATAAACATAGGCTCCTTGGACCCAATGTTCTCAACAATCAAGAGCTACAGAACGAAGCTTGTAAGATAGTCACACGTCTGGGCAAGAGTTGGGGAATGTCACCTGCCGACTTGGTTGTCAACTGGCTAGTCAACCTCATCAGCTCATCAACTGGCTGGCTTACCGCGTTTCGCTTGAGAACACGTCTTCTTCAACACGAAAGTTCAAATACGTTATCCCCCTTACGACTCACTGAGAAAGATTCTCAACATCTAGCTCTCGGAGACCTCATGGATGGAAGAGCTGCTACAGATGAACCCTTCGAGCCCCCGATTCCGTTTCAGTTCCAAGGTGTCCCTTTTGACAGGGGATTGTGGCGGAATCTAGCAATGCCGAACCAACGCGCTTGGTTGCAGGAGGCAGGAAGTGACTCTCTCCCGCCATTGGTTCAAGGGTCTGTCTCACAGGACGCTTCTCCAGAAAGTGATGCCGCCCAGGCTTCCCCAATATCTCCTCTACTCTCGAATATTCCGGACTGGCATAGGCCCGGAAGCACCGGACCAGATGGCCGCAGCGCACACCCGCAATTCTCAACAGTCAAACGGAACTATGCGTTCTTCAATGACTCCAATTTCAACCGTTGGCTTGCTCTTGAGCTGCGACGCTGGATTGCCGCAACCATGTCTCCCAACAACCCGAATAGTCACGTTCCGTCAGACCACGAAATCCAGCATCAAGCTCGATTCATTGTTTATGAAGAGTAAGTCTTGTTTCCTCTTGATCTTATACATGAACGGTTGGAGCCTAACTGCTTTCAGCGGCGACCCTTGGAACCAGACCTCAGCAGACAATCTTGAGTGGCTGCATCGTTTCAAGCGCACTATCGGTATGCCGTTAGAGGAACCCCAAGACAATGTACAAGGGGGGTCAACGAGCGCCCTTCCACAAATCTCCCCGTGAAATCACAGTTTGTATGAAGCCACGTGAAAAAGTACCGCCAGAAAGACAGTTGCTTTGAATTAGTCAAGCTCGATGCACTTTGAGGCCACCCTCGCGGCCTTCGTCGGTGCATTCATGATGCTATGTGACGGATGTTACAGTCGATGTTGGTCACTGAAAATGCCGACTAGAACCCGTCGATGAGAGCTGGGATTTACGAATGCGGGATACCGAACGAGTCCAGTGATATACTGAGGATTGTGGCACTTGAGTGCCGAAACCCGTCTACCCGACCACTAATCGCGACTCTGAATAAGGCGATGTGGAGACTTCAATCTAGCTGCGGCTCGAAGGGCCAAGTAAGGGTTGAACGGACGATCCTCAGACAGGAGGCCTCAAATCTTGTCTCTTCACACTCAAGAGGGATCCGAAAAACCAGCTCATTGAACACGAAACTCCACTTGCATTGTCGCGATAGACGAACCTACAGTTGAACTCCTGGACTTCCTTCTAGGCCTGTCTGCGTGCTTCTTTGGTCGTATCGCATTCTGGCTCATGTGCTCAGCGCTTTGCCGTGCTACCTTAGTGATAGCTCCGAGAAAATGTAACGCCGTTTTCGGAAAGTTAAGGTTGCAGAGCCTAAGAGGTTGATGGCAGTAAGCATGGTGCCTTGTCCTTGTCGACTCCATCGAGGTTACCAAATGAAGATGGGTTTCTCGCTTGACTGGATTATTCCTTCAACCATTTGGCCAGTTCGCGTGGACCCTGGCGCAGCCTTCACAATCCATCGCGGAAATTGTTTGTCCACCACTGGGCTGTTTCATTACTGATTCCCTTGGGGTACGGATACGATTCAGATTAACAAGGGAACCGGTAACGGCAAAAGCACGCCGGTAACCAACAGGGACATCAACCAGGATAAATCGAAGTAGTCTAGAACGTCGAGCAGTCTTCCATATATACCCCAAGCCCATTGGCAAGAGTACTTGAAGCCTCCTCCGCCCATTGTTCCATTTTCAAGCTGTTGGAATAACCCTTGTCGTTGCTTCACCCCGGATTTTCGATCATTCTTGGCTGCATTCCCTTGCTACATTCAGCCACTAGCTCCAAATGACCGTCAACATGCTTAACGTTGCCGCCGCCGCTCTCCTCGCCGCCGCCACTGTGGTGAGCGCCCAGGACAAGGTCGGCTTTGGACCAGCATTCTCCCTTGGCCCTACTCAATCTTGGATCCGGGAGGCGACCACCACTCTCGTTCTCCCTCCCGTCCCGAGTCCCCAGAAGGATCGTCTTGCTCTATGGCCCGGCATGGGCACCAGTGGCGGTGATCTTATCCAGGCCCTTGCTGTTTCCTTTAGTGATCCTAAGGCGTAAGTTCTTGCATTCCCATCAGGAAGCAAAGTCGCCAGCTGAATAGCTTCATAGGAACTGCGGAACTAGTGTCGGCCAGTGGTGCACTTGGGCCAGCACTCTTCAAGGAGAGCAGCTGGGAGGCACGCAAGTTCCTGCATCCGCCGGTGATAAGCTCACCATGCACTGTAAGTTATCTGGTTTGGGTTTCGTGATGAATCGAAGCTAAGTCCACAATGCAGACAAGTACAACGACAGCACTGGCAAGTATGATCAGACCGTCTCTCTCAACGGCAAGGTAGTCTCGACTCTCTCGACGAGTAAGTTAAAATCAAAGAGTCGAGTTATATCAATGTACTGGAATGGAAGCTAAGAATGCAAAGGCTCCGGAAAGGCTGAGGGCTGGGGCACTGCCGTTGAATGCCAAGACGACGCTTGCGTCGGCACGGTCATTGCTCACAGTAAGTGCTCTGTGTCTAGATGATCTATTCACGACATGTCTCACTCACACTACCATTCACAGAGTACACCGGTACGACAATCATACTCAACGCCGCTGACAACACTTTCGGCAACACCCTCGGTCTGAACGAGGCCGACTCCTCCGGTCTCACCACTTCCGACAACGGCAAGACCTGGAAGGCTGACACTATCAACATCCACACCCACACCTTCAACAACTAAATGACGATGCAAATATGCATGTACATGGACTACCACTCATTCGTTTATCTTGTAAATATTCCAGAAAGGTTTTTAACCCTCTTCGCCCACCGAAAGCCTGTACATATTCTCACGTATTCGTCGTATTTTATCGAACCATGGATACCTATTCAGGCTGAGCTGCATCTCGTCTGATAATGTACAAATCGAACAACCGAACAGAATCCTACCTTGCCGTGCCATGTCTGTACTCAAATTTTCAGGCTACACTAGTGAGTCTCATCAAGTCTCAACTCCTCGTAGTTTGGCAAATTCCACTTCACTGCGCTCTCCTTCAGAACCCACTTGCCAAGGTTCATGTGGAAGAAAGATACAATCCCAATAATCCAGTACAAGATTGCCATCCCTATCGGCCCAGTCGGCCAAAGCTTATAGACGAGAGCATCATCGGTGATACCTTCCTGCACCTGATCCATGAAAGGTCGCATCTTTCTTTCGTATTCGTGTAAAGCCGTTTCAATGCCGTCCTGGCGCCGTGAAGATCCGCAGTATTTCCCGATCTCTCCAGCCAAGACGTAGGCGCCGACTATCGCCGACGTGGTACCCATACCCGTCATGGATGATGGGCCATACGCCGCGTCTCCGAGAAGGGCGACATGGCCCTCGGACCAGTGGTCAATCTTGACCAAGCCGATTTGCTCGCAGTAAAAGTCTTTGGAGTCCCTCATCGCATCAAGGAAATAGTCCACTTGCCATCCTGCGCCCTTGAACGCCTTTGCAACAACATCCTTCACCTCCTGCCCGTGAGTTCGCCGAGCGTTTTGAAACTCCTCGTCGTGAGATGTGAAGAAAGTGTACGCCTGAATCGCTTCCGGGCTGTGTCGTCGAGTCATTAATATCCGGCTATTGGTCGCAAAGTAAGCCGTAGAGTAGTACTCTTCGCCCTTCTCGATCGGTCGCGGGATCGTGAAGTAAGAGGCATGAATACCCCTGAGCGGGTAAAAGCCGTCAGAGGCTTCGGACTTCAGCATCATCTTGCGCGTACGTGATCCTTGTCCATCAGCACCAACCAACAGGTCGAAATGGTCCGTCTTGCCGTCCTTGAAGCGTACATTTACGCCGCCGTTATTCTGGTGGAAGCTTTCCACGGAAGTGCCAAATATGTACTTGGCACGGCCCCTGGTGGCATCATAGAAGAGACGACACAAATCTCCTCTCATAATCTCATACTCGGAGGTAAAGTCTTGTACTCCGCTTCCCGAATGGTTCATCGGAAAGTGGCCTCGCCTCCTGCCGGAACCGTCGACGAACTGGAGACCTTGCTCGGGGACCGATTTGGCACGGAACGCCTCTTCGAGACCCATTCGCTTCAAGACTTCAATGCCGTGGCCTCGGAGGTCGATTTGAAGTCCTGTAGCGCGGAGAGTAGGGAACCATTCGACTACGGTAACGTCATGGCCGAGTTTGACCAGCCAGAAAGCAAGGGACCCTCCAGCGATTCCACCACCGCTGATGAGAATCTTCAAAGGGGAAGACATTTTGGGCTTAATGTTGTGATTTCCAAGAAAGTGAGGAGTAGGGTTGAGACTTAAGTCGAATGTGCAAGAGTGTATGTCATCTGGTATGAGAAGCGCTGTTTGTTGATCCTTTCATCACACTTAAGTATTACAATCTATCAATAGAGAAGTTATGTCCGCCGTGCATGGGCTGTTACATCCGTGTCTTGTCCGCCTCGGCCGAACTACTGCGAACGCCCTTCCTTTGACAACATGTCTGGGTCTCACCATAGGCGCTGTCAGTTGGATTCGAAGATCCGATATGGAGACTATTAGATGGCCATGAAGTGGGAGAGGTGTCCAATATTCAGTCAACTTTTAGTAGCAAGTCAGTAAGTTCAGATTCGAAATAATATGGAGACATCTCGAATTTGGCTTCCACAGGGATCGTTAGTTAAACTTTTGAATTCCAACTCTAAAAGTCTCCTTCGGGAAGAAAGAAGTCAAAGTCCCAATCAAATCCAAAGCCTCCCTGTTCGTGTTCAAGTCCAGAAGATCCAAAGCCTGCCTCGGCCGTCGAACATGGCGTCACAGTGCTTGCTTGCTCCTCAAGCAATTTGTGGCAGAATTCTAGACTTTCTTTGGCGCTCTTTGCAATCTCCAAATCTCCCGGAATGCCCATTTCCATGGCTTCGATCTGCGCCACAATCATTTTGAGAAACATGTGACCCTTGATGTTTGTCTCGCCCCCGAACCTTACTCTCTCTGCTGCTATCTCTATCAACTCCATCATTGTTTTCTTCAAAAATTGTCTTTGTTGGACGTTGCGTTGAAGTGTTCCATCGCGATGCTGGGCTTCTGCTTGAGCGATGAACTCGTGGCTGACGGTAGCAAGAGCGTACCTGTAGCCTTCGCGGAACATCCCCCCCGCGATTCTGAAAAGACGAGAAAACTCATCGTCCGGTTCAGGTGAAAGAATCGTAATTGTTGTGTCTAGGGTCACTTTCGTCGAGTATTGGAACAGGGGATTCGTCTGCGCTTGGCTCGCGAACGGGCAGTGCAGGGGAATCAGGAAGCGACGCACGAGGAAATCGAGCAGGTTTCGGTGGAACACCGAGACTCCGGATCGCTCGTGCTGCCTCACAAAGTGGATGTTGGTTCGGCAGGCATGGGTAATCTCTGCGCTCAACTCTAGAGCGACGTGGTAAGATAATTCATGGTGAATTCCGTTGAGCAGCTGAGCAACTCGAAGTCGGCTCATAAGAGAGTCCCTAAGCTGGAGATGTAGTGACATATCCGTGTAAGTGCTCCTGAGATGTGATCGTAGTTCCGTCTGTGACTCTTCTAGTTCGTCGTCGTTGACATTTGCAGGCGGTCGACTATCAAACTCGTCGAAAGAGATCCTAGGAGGCATCGCTGCGTCTAAGGATGACTGGATTACCAACTCCAAGATGGTCGACCAGAGTCTCCTTCGTACCTCTGCTTGCAATGTCGACATTTGCGATAAATTGATTGGATCACGGTGCAAGCCAATTTGCATGGCCGTATGGAGTAGTGTTCCCGTGGAAATCCACACTAGATCGCCTCCAATCGAAAAAATCTGCCGTGCCAAAATAGTCAAGCAGTGAATCTGGACGCCGTTGATACCCAAGCGATCCTTTTCCAGAGGGCCGGACAGCCAGGCCTGAGCAGCGTAAATCCATTGATGAGCCAGGCGTTTAAATCCTGGTTCGACTTCCTCCGGGTCATGTAGACTTGATCCAATCGCAATGACGAGGAGTATTTTGAGGCGGGCATCGTTTTTGACGCTTGTTGGATCGTCCCAAAACCGATGATACTCCGCTCTGAAAGTCGGCTTGTGTAATATGCGGTAAGTTGACTCGAATGAATCCAGGTAATGGCCTACCATTACATCAGCCACCCCGCGAGATGGGGCCGCAAGGTTGACCCCAGAGTTACCAAAGCTTCTGCTGGGCCGCCAGCTTTTAATACTCCTCGCCAGGTCTTTGCAGTTCCGAAGTAAAGTCCCGGCCTCTATGGCCATAGCCTCAGTCTCGGCATCTGAGAATGGAGCATGACTCTCGTTTGCAGCAGCCTTCACATAATTTGTGTAGCAGTCCAGCAATCTGTCAAACTGTACAGATGTCAGCATTGGGCCCCATGCTAGCCAACATTACAGTTAAAGAACATACCTCGGAGGCTTCACCCATCCAATCACTCCATCGCCATACTCTCGACTTCTTCAACACCACGCGTGAATCTGTATCCTTCCCCATCAATTTCTGGGGAATCTCAGATCCGCTACGTTGTTTCGTGCCGGTAGATGCTTCTTCTAATTTCTGGATGCGGTGTAGGAGATCCCGAAGAGCTGGCTCGGCGATTAGGGCTTGAGCCATGTTTCCCGATACGACCGCATTCTCGCTAACCTCATCGCCAACACTCTGCTCTCGACGACTGGATTGCATCGATACAGGCTCAGAAATTGGATTGACATCGTTTGTAGACTCATGTGCCGGAACGATAGTCGGAGCTTGTGACAGGGGCGATATCATGTGAGTCGACTGCATTACCTGATCAGCTTGTTGCACCGGCGGCCGAGCTGTCAGTTCACTTCCGAATACTCGGTAGGTGCATCGGAGTTTCGATGCAGTGCAATGCCCACAAGGCTCATCGCGATCACACTTGATCTTTCGGCGTCTGCATTCGAGACACGACAGAGCGGGTCTCCGACGTCGACGGGTTTGTCGCTCCATGTCTAATCGGGTGATGACGGGTCAAACGGCTCCGACCGACGGCGAAATGAAGCAGGTAGATAGCAAAAGAGGAAGCAGTGGATGGTCCAGATGAACCGCCATGGCGCTGAGGTGAAGTTGAAATCTGAAAACGGACGTAAGCGGACATATCACATGCGTGCTCGGCTGTAAGCGCACGAGAATGCCGAATCTTACCCGCAGCCACGAAGCCGCTAACGTCATGATGAAGAAGTAGTCAGGATGTCCTTGAGGAGGTCCGGTCGTAATTCCGAACCACAGTATGAGGAATTCTGTTTCCGAGGTGTCCGTTCACGGTACTACTTGTAAGCATCATTTGACCATTAGTAAGTGTGATTAGATTGATGGCAGCGGGGATTCCCGTCACGTACGTGACATTCCGATACGATGCCTGACTTTAAAGACTTCAACCTCCATGCAATTACACGTTATGCACGATTCGCCTTGTGTCTCTGAGCTAGAAATTCTCTTCCATGTCTCATATATGGTGAACCGTGGTCTCTTTCCATGATTTCAATGGTAACATAATAGTTCGGGAAAGGGATTCCGGTCATGTATTCGGTACGTTGTGGACAAAGGCAGTTCGAGTAAAATCTTATCCGTACATGTCATCAAGATGAACTCCAAACTTGTTTCAACTGCCAAGCTAATACCAGGGTCATCTCGCCTGAGAACGGTCTCTTATTGCGGTGTATCTCATTCTTAATAGCAAGATAATCGTCATCTAACTTGTGACCTGTCCATGTCGTCCACCGCCACCTAAGATGGAGGTGCGTAACCAGAAGACCTAGAACACAGTCTACGCGATACTGAAGAGCGAAAAATACGATCGAGCTCGATGAAGAGTTTATCTATAGAACGTCCACGAGCCCGAACAAACTCGAAACTCTGAATAAGACCAATATCTAGGGCTGTTTTCCTTGGTCGAACGTTGACCATTTCTCGAGCTTGACGGAACCTCACCGGCATCGACTCCAAAGCGTAATATTCAGTGATGGCCTGATGGATTTTATCTGCTACTGTGCATGTAGGCTGTGACGCTGAGCCGCATTTAGGTTGCCCGAAAGTGGAACGAAACCAACCAAGGGTTCTCGGTCAAGGTACACAGCCTTTCTCCCCAGAAGAACCTGCTCCACAATACGAATTCTGAGGCCACCGGTATATGCAATCTCTCATTAGCTAAGGAGACCTCCAAACGCCCTCTCCAGCCGGGCAACTGACTTCATGTTGGGTGGTGCTACTACAGGGTAAAGCGCCCGGCTTAGCGGCGAAATGAACGACGAGCATTGTCTGAAGTTTGCGTAATCAAACAATGCCACAGCCGAGCAAGTCCTAGGCTATTCGAAAATGCTGGGGGCATGTTCTTGTGATTGGAACTTGACGGGCTTTGTACTAGATTATATAAGTCGAGTGAGGTACGAGACGTTGCTGAAGGAGTGTCTTCCCTCCACATGTAAGCTACTAACTCGGCTCTACCCAAGTAAACCCGAACGACAACTTGATATCACCAAAACTTACCAAGAGCTTACACGCTACCAGCCTATTCCGAAACCAAACAGCTGTGAATCTCTTGATTTCCGATTCTTCAGTCTTTTCCGCTGAAATAACACCATGAGACCCGCTCGCATAGTAAGTGCTGCCTTCAGTTCTTACCTCCCGTCTTTCGCCAGACTGAAACTGATGCTCTGGTCTCCCAGCTCTTCACGACGCTACTTTCTGGCACTGCCATTTCAACGCCATCCCCGACTGATACGATAGCCTGCGAACCGAGATCTGATACTACATCAAGCTCTAGTTGTCCTTATCTAGGTGGTATTACGGAATGCATCAAGATAGAAAGGGCGCTTTGCATGGCGGGCTGCGGACCGAGTCCACAGCAGAAGCTTTTCTGCATTACATCCTGTATCACATCTTCTAAGAAAGGCTGCATGATGATTGGGTGTTGAAGCAGAGTCATGTCAGATGTCGGGACGTTGATTTGGTGACAATGGCCACGATCAACGTGATATCAAATGAATTACTGCTAGTGCATCTCGTCAAGGTGTGGAACTTGATTTGCACATAATCATTGAATCTTCTATTGCCGTAGTGCCGCTGTCAATGGTGTCCATTTTCCATGATCCATAGACAAGTCTGTTGAGAAACTTCCGGTGACTTACATGTCTTGCTTGACCTGACACCTTTTCAAGATAGGCTGCAAAAGACTCATATCACTTGCGCAGTCTGCTCGAGATGATGAGTAAATATCCAACCGTACGCTGCGGCCTGCCCTTGCTGGCATATTCCACGCCAAGTTATGCTAAGAACCACTCTTATCTCATGTCTCGACAGTTGCCAGTTGCTGCCTAGGACCGCCCAACCTAAGCGACTTGAATCTTTCAGAACTCCTACACGCACGGGAATCGTGACAACCCAGAAATTCAAGTCAGCTTTCGGTCAACCCCGCTCAGTCTACCCAACTTCACGTGATCCATCCAAATCAGATAAGAAAGAGTTCGAGCCATTGCCTGTAGACCATGTGTTGCGATGCTGCCTTCTTGACATGTCAATTCCACCATCAAGCCACATGTCTCGACTCCTTCACCAAAGTCCACGCCCTCAACCCCGATCAACTAGCAAAGTCATCACATGTACCTCATTAGCCTGGATATATCCAATTACCGAGCATTTCTCACAATCGTCCCTTCAACGCCGCCCCCACCATATTCGCCATCTACCGTATCTGGCCCATTTCCATAGAGCCACTGTACCACATCATCTTGTACATTCTTCCCTTCCTTCCGCATCTTCCTAGCTTCCATACTTCAACTCTCACATATCACAAAAGCCTCGGACGCCTCTATATCCATAGGATCGAAATTCTAGAACATGCAACGCTAAGCCCACAAGGCGCCACCTAGAAACAGCCACTCTTGGCTCCCCCGCTCTATATAAAGCTCCTCCCACATGACCCATCCCTTTGATTCTCCCTTACAAGGACTATCACGACTAGTCTCTTAGGCAACCCCAGCATCCTTCGATTCCTCACCAAGGAACCCCATTATTCAGCTATGGAAACCTGCCGTCCCCTCCACGCATACCTTGTTCACGCTAGAGCCCCATGAGAGTCAAGGCCAAGCTCTCACAAGAGCCGAACCCAGTCAGAGTCAGGCAAGAAAGAGGGCGGGAAAAGAAAACGTTATGGCAACGCTTACTCAGGCACAAGAAGCCCACAACTTTCTCAGCCCTATCCTTCACTTGCCGTGCTTGCCTACCCGGAACTATTCAACTGCAAAACGCTAAGCCCTTCGGACTAAAGCCTCCCTATTGCATATCTCATATCCCAAAATGTAGTCGAGGTCGACAACCACCCGTCGCCCTCCATACCGCGATAGGCAGGTCCATCCCGAATGCGGCTTCAGAAACAAAACGTCTTGGAGCTGGATGTCTGAAATTAGGAACCGCGTTATCTAGATACTTAAGATACCCAACCCTAAAAAGAATCCAAGACAGAGAGGCTGCGCCGGCGAGACTCTAACCGATTCCATCGCAAGATCTTCATCTTTGATCGTCAGCTCTTTTTTTGTTGTCTCGGTCCAGGAAGATTCCCACAATCCAGCCCAGTTTTCCCCGTTTCATTTGCACCTATCCCCTAACACTAACACGCTTAGGTACCCTGTTGCTCATCTTAACCATTTCGTGCATAGGGTTGTTGGATCAAGAAACGAAACCAAAAGTCGGGAAAAAGCAAATATATGCTGGACTTCTCCCCCCGGCCCCATTCTGAACCCTACGTCAGCACCAGAGAACCCCGTTTATCTCCCTTGCTAGGTAGGTATTTCCCCCAGCTTTAGCCACCAAGCGAAATCCCTATCGCTCCCTACAAGATGCGTGACCAAGGTATCCATATGTACATACCTGAGCTACAAGGTACAACATGCCATAGCGCAAGCTTGCAGGTCTCTCTGGTCCCTTTAAGAAGAACAGAGATTCAAAGACCTCCGTCATTCTATCTCAGCAGGGCTACTGGCGCTGTCTGAGTCTCTGCCACTGCCAGCAGCCCGCATGACACACCTCAAAGAGACAGGTCCAGACCACGGACCCCCAAAAAAAAGCAGGCGGGGGCCAAGCCGGACCGCCGCCCTCCCGGCGCGCCTCGCACCGGCCCTCCTCTAACAAACGGCCTTCCCTACATCCAACGACACTAAGCTCTCTAGTCTCCCAAGTTTATCAACATTCCTCAGTATGCGTGCCACATTCCTGTAATTATGCCGTGGAACAACTTTTCGGCACCCGATACCTCCGGCCGCCACCCTCCCTCTCCTAAACTGAACCGAAGATCTTCCAGAGAGAACCGCGCCTAAGCCACACTGGAAACTCACTCCCTGAGTCTCTTCCCCCGTGACCGTGCCACGGTCGGTCAAATCTCTTTGTCATCCCCTCCCCGCCCGGTCCCCGGTCCTTGAACCTGCAAGTCTCACACCGAGTTACCATCGGCCGGCCCCCGAGCCCGCGCAGCACTCCAACTTCCCCTCTTTTATCTCTGTTCCGCCTGCCGGGACAACTCCCCCCCGTTCGTGCTTTACGCGCATCGCACTCGGCATCGTACCGGCGGAGCAGAGTCAACAGCCTGTCAGGAATCAAGCAAAAGGCACGTCAAAGGGGTTGTAGACAGACAGATTCAGATTCTCAGATGCCAGCGCAGTCTAAACCCACACTCCCATCCCCCCGGCCACATACTTTTCCCAGGTCGCTGGTTTCAACCAACATGCTTCCTTTCGTGGTTCCTGATATGCACTCAAAGATTGGAAAAACATGGCCCGAAGAATGAAGCTCAACAGTGTCCCTTTCTCCATGTATCCAAAGCATCAATCTATCTACTTACTTTCTACTCTGTAAAACACCCCCCCTCGGACAAATCCAAAATCCCCACCCGCCCTGACCTCCGCCTACCGTCCTTCCGCAGCGGCGTCTATACCCAAACAGTAAGAAAAAGCAAATATCCAAAGCAAGCCATTTTCATCCCACGTCTGAACGCTTCTTACAACCACCACCAAAAAACCGCAGCACCATCCATCCATGGACAAGAAAAGAGCTGGAAAGAAGAAATTATGCCGACCAGACCTGCTCAAGCTGCCCCCAGTAACCATTAACCCTCCCCCTCCATCCTACGGCAACCGCAACTCGGTCGAACCAAAGAAAAAACTTCCCGCAAGTCCACCACACTTTTTTCGTTTCGCATTCCCACTCCCACCCCCCCAACTACGCAACAACACATAACACACCACATAACGATCCCAACTTTTCCAGACCAGCCAGCCAGTGACAGTTCATCTTCCGTTCTGATGGATACAGGTACACTCCCTTCAAGGGCCTCCAAGCAAGGATCGCCGATCGACGCAACCGTCCTCAGCCCGCATCATCTAGCGTAGCTTCACATGAACAAGATGACAAGGGAATTCTCAAGGAAGCCGCATCAACGAGCCCTGGGACCCCGGCCGCCCCGCCTTACCTGCCTAGCCCACCACCACTTACAGCTGCACCAAAGAACAAAAAAAATGTCATGTAAAAATATGGAAAAGAACTACCTATTACACCGAACCACATGCCAGACGGTAGACGACAGACCTACCTAGGCTCGCAGCCCCAACTGCCAGCCACCCCCGTTTCGTTCCCGTTGCCTGCCGCCCCCGTGTTTGCGCCGCCGGGCAGTCGGTCGGTCGGTTCGGTCGGTGTACCGTAATCAGGTCAGGTCGATTGGTGTTCCTCACACCTGCCTCTGCCATTTATCGGGCAGGGTAGGAATAACCCCACTGGCTGTGTCCTGTCAGACCCAAAAAGAAGTTTGACTTGTCAGACTTGACTAAGGAGGCACAGGGGCGGGCGCATATCCAACCCGTCTACGGAGTTAGGAAAAAGCAATAACTGCCTAGTAAACCAATGTACATCACCGCGTAAAAGAATCCTTTCTCAACCCTGGGATGGAAAAAAAAAAAACAAAGAATGAACATACAAAAACAAAAGATGGGGCCTATGACCTACGTCCCTATCTTCCCGTAGAATAAGCAAACACCACACAAATACGGCAAGCAACCCGTGTCTCATATTTCATCTCCAGAGTCAAGGCCCCTCTCCAGAAAGAAAACTAAGAATGGCTTACATGTAGATGCAAGAATGAACCCCTTCCATAGCCCATCCGAGAAACAGAGCAGGGGAAGGAAGGAAGGGGGACCAAGGACCCCAAAGAACCCCCTCATATGCCATCGAAACCCCCCTCAACCCCCCAGCCCCTTCAAGAACGCGTGATGATGAGGGCCAAGATTTCGAGACACCGATCTGGAGAACTCGAGGGCTGTCCTAATAAATTGAAGTCATCGTCCGGATCTGGAAATGTACTCGTACGGCGCTGTCCCCAAAAAAGGGGACCAGGGGAAAAAAACATGCTTGGCTAACCAATTGTGACACCTCATCCCCGTCTCTCACTTGGAAACACGAACAGAAAAAAAACGAACATGTGTCCATCTTGGGAATCTGGATCCCGCCAATCTTACGAAACCACCAGACCAGATTAGAGCTGTGTCGATCTCTGGATGAACCAGTGAAAGGACATGCGCAATCCAATCGAGGTACCGAAAGAGAAACCCGCCTGGCTACGTAGTTACCCAACAACGACATCTAACACGGCACTCACGGCCGCATGAGCAGCAACACCAGCAGCATCTTGCAGACCAGAGAGCTGATCCTTGGCCACTCTCTACGAATACCCTTTCCGCTCCTCAACTCTCACCCTCTCCCCCATGAAAGCGCCGGCCAGGATCCGCATCTATCGATGCAGTGATGCGCAAGATCCGATGCGGGACCCTACACTAATACCCCCCAGCCATCCCTTCCCCCCTTCCCCCTTCTGCTCGTCAACTTGACCACTAATGGCCATGATCCGCGCCGCCGCCGTCGCCGCCGCCGCTGCTCCTGCGGCCCAAGAATCGCCTCCTCCACCCCGGGGATCCGCAACTTTTGTGATTGGGCCACCCGGAAGGAAACCTCCTCCGGGGGACGCAGGAGCGTGCCAACGACGGACGACCGGTGAAGAAGTGGATCCGGAGGGGCGTGTGAGTGCGGACACTATTAGTGTAGGTAGTGCCTCGAAAAGCTTTCCAACACCCAGGAAGCCATCACCGACATATGCAGCCCAAGAGATTCTTTCCGAACAAGCGAGAGAAAAAGAAGTGACGAAACTGCGGAGCAGCGCGCACTCGCACAACCTCCGGAGTACATGTGTCGTTGACGACGAACCCAGTGCTTCTGCAAATCGCGTAAACGAAACGGGATCCGGATCTCTGGGTCCCGGCTTTCGGCCTCGGCTTCAGGTGAGCCGTGACAAACCAAACATCTACGGAGCCCCCTCCATAGACCCTTTCTTCCTGAGTCATAGCCTCTGACAACGTAGCACTGTGGCTGCCGCATCGAACAAACATCTTGCCCTCAACAGTACGAGCCAGGCCAAACCAGTAGTCCTTTTTGGTAATTTTCTTGGCCACGAACCCCCCCAGCTCATTGCCACATGCGAGAGGCGCTAGCATCAATCGTGGCTAGGGCGGAGGCGCGGTAGTTGCTCGTATGGCGATCAATCTTTTTTCGCGAAACCTTTTCTTCGCTGGCCATGCCCAACGTGGTCATTGATCAAGCGACTATCGGGTCGAGACTTCGGGTACGAGATGGCAATACCCAATATCAGGCCACATCGTGGCTTTCTTCAGTGTCGTGCCTGAGACGATGTCACCCATCAAACCCTGGGCCAGGGAAAGAAAACCCACGGCCACCGCACCTCGGAAGCTGTGAATGAGTCCTGACGAGCATGAGGCGGACGAGATAGGTCACAATGAGCCTTGACAGCCCCATCAAATGCTACCGTATCAGACAAGGCGCCGTCGAAGCATGCCTGTCAATAGCTTCAGCGTCGGAGATACCCGCCTTGCGCTGGGGCCAACCCGCCGGAAGCCGTCGGGTAGTAAACCGCAAAGTAATAAATAACTGCCGTAAAACTTCATTATTTAGTAAGTCGCCGAGCCTTTCATCGCCAGTGGGGACCCGTGATATTCCTATAGAAAGGGAATAGACCCTACAAGTACGCCGATGAATGAGTCAAGGTCTCGGAGAGAAATAAGGTAAGGCGGGGACGACAAAATGGGCTGTGATGCTAGGTATTCCGTTCGGATACAACTGACTTCGTCGCTGGCGAGCGGTTGAAACATCTCTTTAGGGAAGAATCGAGGCAAGGCTAGCTCAGCGACCCCGGCAGAAGATCGCCATCATAAAAAACGCGCCTGAGCACGGCCGCCGTGACCATTGTGTTCGAGACCGCGATCCTAGCTCATTGGCAATTCCAATCTGCCCCTTAGTGGAATAGTGCAAAAAATCGCCGACTTGACTAACAGCCGGATGTTGAAATGCGAAATGCCGCAGGGCGTGAACGGTGACAGGGGAGACGGAGGTGAGGATAGCAAATGTATTCTGGGTGTGTGCGCGAGTGCGAGTGAAAGAAAGAGACACCAACGAGAAAGAGAGAAAGAGTTTAGTCCATGGCCATTGGCAAAGGACTTCAACGTGGGGGAGGGGGGGGGGGGGATCGATGTTGGTGGAAGACACATTCAATAGTGTCTCATGGAATCACCCAAAACCGCTTGGTGTTCGTACTTTGCAGAAAAACGAAGGCTCTTGATTCGTTTCTCGCTGCCATTCCCACACGGCACGACCATGATGTAGAAGCGGAAGGTTCGTGACCAGAGTGGTTTGGCCCGCGACCAGGTGATTCAGGTTGAGATCAAAAGCAACGAAAAAGAGACCTTGCAGGAGACGTGTCCTGACAGGTCATTGGCAGCAGCACCTGAACACCCGCGGATGTCTCAGTCCACCCATACAGGGCCGCCAGCAGGGGCAAGAAGGAATCTCCTGCAGAGAAGGCTACATCCGGAAATGCCCTGTATGATTCTACTCGATCTCCCCTCGTATCGTGACTTCGATCTCAAACAATAGTGTTCGGCTGGAACGCTATTCGTTCCCCGATGGCGACGGGAATAGACAGCGAAAATGGCATCTGGTGAGCGTCAGCGACATCTCAATGAGACGGTGGAATGGATTTCGAGAAGCGATAACAAGATTGATTGTTTGCAACGTTTCCCATATACGACGTCCTTGATCCTGCGCCCGCGAATTATCGAAAAGACATAGCTTGCCGCCTGGGTGCACCGTAAATCTCCCAATGAAAGTCAACAGTTCCCGTGATCATACGAGGGCGCACCTCCGTCGATCTAGACAACCGTGCTCCAGGAGAAAAAGCAAGCAAACGGGCATCCAGATTAAGACGTTTAGGTTTGCCGACGGCCCCAACGTCGTAAGGCTGAACAGCGGGAGCTAAGCACATTGTCAAACTGGTCTGGTGCTAGGCACTTTTTCTTTCTGATCAGTCGAAGAAACTGGTAGTCGGAATATTAACATAACCGTTGTACCCATGGAGTCGGTGCCCGTCGTGACAGGTGGCATATACTCTGCCTGTGACTCAATCGAAGAGTCGTTATACCATTAGACACGTGCCCATGCTACACATGAGTGATCTCGAAGCTAACAACTTCCATCCCGGACTATGGAAATCTCTCAGCCTAGCATGAAGCGCAGGGTAGAACGGCCGCGAGAAATTGGATCGGGCGCGCGGTAAGCTGAACGACGTTCGCGATTGGTGCAACAGTCACGTCTGATTCATTCGTTGTAGCATTGGCCTTTGGTTCGCAATAAGAAAGGGACCAGGAAGAAAACAAGGAGGATCGTGGCCATGGTCTGATCCCGAGAGACGCCAACTATGGAAGTGCGACGGGCAAAGCACTTTCCGGCAACGTTGTGCGACGTATGACGAGATACTCCAGACATAATACCAGTCCTCCCGATCAATCGCCGGGGGAGAAGAAACGAGGTTCGGGGTTTGATGGCTAATACGTTGTTGGAGTGGCCAGCGGTTTGAATTATGGAAGTGTGGCGCTGTCGAGAGAGCCGGGGATTGAAAAACGAAGCATGTCGCCAACGTCACACGTCGTCGTCAACCCAAGAGACGGGTCCAAGAAATACTGCCGTAGAACCCGAACTCCTTCATCTACTTGTGAATACAAAGTATACGCAGTAGGCTCAAACGTGTCCACCCCTTTGCCCCAAGACCGAGAGCTGTAGACACCATTTCGGTCGACACAAGGCACACAGGCCAAAGGGGAGCTTGCATGTTGTCATTGCCACTCGGTTGGTGCTGAACATGGTAAATCGAGTGACGAAAGGATGTCATCCTATCAAGCAGGTAAGATGGTGAAACCACATAAATCGACGTCGTTTTCCACGAATGGGGAATGCTCTCCAACACTGCGAGCGAGACAAAAGCGGTCGTAAGATTCAGGGTGCGGACGACCCAGTCTAATGCCTGTCATCGTTCGTCGGCCGAAAGGCTAGGTACAGTTTGTTTTCTGCTCAAGAGTTGAACATGACTCCCCGCACCGTGAAAGAACGGCCGATTCTCATGTGAAGTGATTCATGAGCCGTTTCTTGTCGGAAGTCTCTTGCCAGAGATCCGGCCGTGCGTACGTCCGCAGTCTCGAAGTCGCGCAAGTCGACATCGCCTCAACGGCCGGGCATAGCGCCGTTTCTGTACCAGATTTCCGTTGGCTTGCGGCGTGGGGTTGTTTCAACGGGCGAGCAATCGACTACGGGCTCTTTCTGGCCTGATCTCGTTGCCGAGACCTGGGAAGAGCACGGGGCTGCCTGTCTCGCCAACCACTCTAATCTCCTTACCGGGAGGGCCCTAGGTGTGTTAACCACATGGCCGGGAAGCGGGGTTGATGACCTCTTCGGGCGCTAGACAATTTCTTTTCCAACTTCTGACACTACCGACGAGACGCTGGTCGCTGGAGATGCACCTGAGCATGCTGATGACTGGAGTCGATATGCCGTTATACCATAGTTATGCCCCAGGAGTCGGACCATTTCGTCGCGACGAGAGCCGCCGCATCCTGCGTTTGGCTACCGTCGCCCGAGAGCTGGGGGTCAAGATATTAGTGCCGATGCAGTCACTCTCACCGGTCAGGCTCCATATTCCCTTAGCCCCCTTCGATCCGACATGGATGGAGGGTGAGTTGTATTGTTCGTGACATGTTATTTGCCAGAAGAAAATGCGAGATGATGGTGTGCGCGCGTGTGTGTGTGTGTGGATTGCGTGGCAGACCGATCTCCAGATCAGACGATCGCACCGTGAGCCAAGCATAGTTGGCATGTCAGAGCCAGATCCCAGGGAACCGCTGACGAGGCCCGGGTGCATCGCATCTAGTCTGCGCTTCATCCCGATGGCGCTGCTTCTTGCCCAAGATACTCGAGGCATCTACGTTGGCCCAAGGATGCGGCGTTGCGCACTGGCGAGCTTGGGTTTGGGGCGGCGGCTGCTGCGATGAAGGGTTTCCTTCCAACATCACTGAATCGCTGAGGCTTAGCCACTCATAGAATCACGAGGATTAAATGGCAGTCCCGCCCTTTCACTCAGTGTTGATTGGAAGCGGATTTCATGCTAGGTATCGTTTTGTTCCAACTTCCCATCGGCCAACCTGAGTTGATCTCAAGGCCATCGGCCATACCATTGCATGGTGCCGGCATACAGGCAACGATCTTCGCGCCAGGATCTTTGGGCTTCAACGTAACCATACGGCTTATGGCTACAAGGGCAGTCGCCGATTGCAGGGACGGCAGATCATCAACTGACCAGTGTGGACGTATTCTACTGGTGTGAACGAACGATCGAGTGGTGGTGAAATGCCACCCTACCCAGGTATCAACGCATCAAAGGCGGCGGTACATTGATGAAAAGGTGAGGTGAGGGTTCGATGGAAGGGTCGGGTCATTCAGATCCTACCGTAGACGGAGCAGCAGTGGTGGCCTCGCTTCAAATTGTGGTTGTTGTTTGGTCCATGAGCTGAAGCCACATGGTGAGCGTGAGCTTCCTGGCTGCTATCGTCTCGGACTCGGGACGTGCCACTGCCACCGTGCCTGACACATCCCTGAGCGAGCAGCGCCAAGCAGCAATGCATACCTGTTTTTCCATTCCCAAGAAATCTAGGTTAGTTGGACTGCAAAGTGCGGCCGCACTTTCGAGAGAGCGGTTTGGCCATAACTCATCACATGCGGTGCTCGCACGTCTGCAGAGCGAGAGTCATTAACAGAGAGGTTGACGGCAGCTGGCGAGTTGGATGAGGATGGCGGTACATCGACGGCCATTACTCCGTCTGTATCGTGGGTGGCTGCATGTGGCAACTGCAATGTGACTTTGAACAGCGGCCCGGCATATCGACCCAAGGTTGGTGAGGCAGCACTGGCTCGTGAGTTGAGCAGCCCGTCATCTGCGCCGAGACTCGAGAATAGGGATCTGCATATGAAGCTAGAAAACAAACATGAACATGATCTGACAGACCCGGCGGCAGCAACGCAACTGGGTCGAGTCGAGATGAGGTCCTAGGGTGTTTAGCCGGTGCCGGGCTGCTGTCGAATCTCTGACCACCAGCCCGAAGACAATTCTCGGTCTCCAAGAGGCTTTGATACTCGTAATACCATGATCAATGTTGCCAACATGTGGTTTTCATAAGAACTCCTCCGGATTCCGGCGTGAATAAAAAGCCAAAGGAAATCGACAAACCCGCGCCATAGGGAACCAGACGTGTACTGGACCACGACTTTTTGGGTACCTGAGGAGTACACCAAGATCCCACATCAAACCCCATGTCGAAACAGCGGAAACGACCCAGTCAAAGAGTTGAGATGTGATGTTTTGATAGCGATGGCCGGATCTGGCACATGGCCCAATAAAGCGGAGAGAGGCGGAAGATGATGGTAGTTGTGATTTGCTCTTGTTCAGGAGATGGCTTCCTAAAGAGGAAGTTGTCCCGAATAGGTACTGTTGGATTGTAGTGCCTGTATCGAGCGGAAAGTCAATCGAGTAGCGTGTCAGTGTAGCCTGCCAGGGAGTGACGTGGACCAGGGCTGGTGTTTTATATCGAGTGGTGGTAAGCGTGCATGAGATCGTGAGAAACGCGCCAGATCCCGCGAGAGACGCCGAGGTGTCAGCAGGCGATCTCGCCAATGGGTGGGCAGCGGACGCAACGCTCACCGAAGTGGCCGCGGGCATCGTCCCCAGGTGCCAGACGGTTTGGTTCCGCTTCTCGCAGACGAGACGACCGATGGTGGCGGCGACAACGGCTGATGCAGAGGGGAGAAAGGGGGTGTAGTGTAGGCACATCGCGCGACAGAAAGAGAGCCACTGGTCGAGTAAGGCTGCCGAAAGGAGATGTGCTTGCTGGATTGGGCGACGTCGTGCCCACGGCGGGTTGCAAAGAGGATTGCAGGGGGAGGGTTGCCTGGATGTGCATCGTCGATCCCATCTTGGTTGGTCGTAGGTACGCGGCAAGACCAGGGCAAAGGTAACTTGGCAGGAAGCAAGCGGCATGAATCCTGCAGATGAAGTGAAGATGCGGTAAGGAGATCAGAGAAGCGATAGACTAGGGTGTGGCGTGGATGTGTTGGGGTGCTTTGCTGCTCGCTCTTCGAACACGCCCCCTTCTCCGGCCTTCACTACCCGCAGATGCAGACGCCAGACCATACGTCCGTTGCGACGCCAGGCTTGAAGCGATGTCAAGTCGCAATAGGCTCTTGCTACCTTAATGGCGTGGGTGCAATTATCGCGGTAGCTCGGATTCCTCGAGTGAATCGGGCATCCCTCCTGGTCTGACGTACTTTGAGATCTCAGCTTGGGATCGCAACATCCAGTGATATGAAATGGACGGGGTTCAGGCCGAAAATAGATCGCGACGATACGATGATGAGGAGCAGGCGGAGGAGGATGAGACGAATATGGTGGTCCGTGTGGGCTTTACGTCGATTCTGTATCCGTATGGCGTAAGTAGAGATAAATGGACGGACTACGAGTACATCGTACTTTATTTGCCTGTCAAAGACTTGTCGTGTCGTCTCATTGCACGGCACATACGGGTACGCATAACGCTGTTGATTGTAATGCCGGAATCGACAGTGACCGCCGGACGTGTGCCTTTTTTCTGCTCGCTTGTCAAGGACGCGTGGATAAAGAGTCAAAGCTGGAGATGTGGCCCGCTTCTTCGAACCCCGCTGGTGAGGTACGAATAGGCGCAGACGATGATCGGTTTGATGTTCCGTGACCCTTGGTAATAGCACCAGCAGGGCAGCATTGAGAAGGATTATCGAAACTTCGATCGTGGAGAGGGAGGGGGGGGTGGGTGGTTGGTAAGTTGGGTTGAGTCCACGCGAGTATTCGGGAGCCACAGGAGCATCTGCCTGAGCAGCGAGGTGTGAGGAGTCAAGGATTGGTGCTTGTGAGCAGTGGGTGAGCAGTGAGGAGGAGAGGAGAGGACTTGGGAGTCAAGAGGAGAGGCCACCAACGAGTGCTCGGCCGTTTCAACTCTGAACTCTTTCGAGAAGGAAAAGTGGAGAGGAGAAGGGCAAGCGAGATCCCATGGATCCCAAGGATTCCCAAGGGGACGTCGGGAAAACGCCATTTTGGCATCCGCCGCAGCTGTCAAATGACGGGAACACTCCACCATGCAGGGAACTAACACAAGCACCCAGTGGAAGCGCAAGGCAAGGTACGAGGGCCTTGCACTGGAAGGATAACGCAGAAGACTCCCGCTCGTACCGGGGACCTGATCAGGCTGTTCCTTGCGCCCAAACTTTGTCACAGAATTCCAACGGCTCAAAGTAGAGTTACATAGAAGCTCCACGTGCAGGTGTACCTACCTCGCCAAACCACGTCCACCGGGCCAGGCCAGGGAGCCTTGGAAGGAGTGGGCAACATCCAAAAGGGGGCGAAGAAGGGGGGAAAGGGCGAGCATCAAAGCACCTCTCCGTTACCAGCACCAACCTTGTCTGTTCATCTGTCTACACGAGACGAGCGGAAGCCAGTAAAGTTAACTTGATAGATGGTGGATCTGGAGAGGAGGCGGTAAGGCGAGTCCCAATGGAGCCCACTTGTCAATTATGGTATCGACTACACTACAAGTATTGACTTGCGACTTGGGTTATACTATCCAGAGTCCAGGATCTGAATCTCGTGATACCGACGTCGAAGAGGTGATTCGAGCTCATGAAATTGTTCATACCTTTGAATATCCGCGCTATTCGTCAGGCACATGCCAGACTATTTCTGACCCCGAATGTTACGCCTCTGCTGTCGATGTGAGGGTCTCCTCCGATGGTAGGTTGGCACCAGGCCATGACAATGTGCCGCCCAGCACTACCCCCAGGCCTAACTTCTACCCGCCAGCATCTTGGCCATGTTGTCTCTCTCCCCCTTCTCTCTGTCTTTCTCTCTTAGGCTGTCAGCTCAGATTTCAGAATGGGTCGCCGGCCCCGCCGAAACCCTCGTGGTGTACACGAGTAGGCCCGAGACGTCACGGACATTTGACATTGTCCTTTGAACTAGATTTTGTCAAGATCAATCGACCCGACTAGCGGCTACCCCCATGATGTGATGATTTCCAAGAGGAAATAAACCAATCCTGGTTGATAGTGATAGTCAGCGGTAGGGGATCGGCATGAATAGAACAAGTGGAGAGTGGCTTCTCTTTTCCTTCTCGCCTGCTTCTATCACCCGAGGCTCGAGCGCGAGGACCGCAATTCAAATCTTTTCGGTGGATGCATATCCGTTCCAATCCATACCACGGCGACGAAATCGGAGGGTACGATATAGGTACTTTCCTGTCTTCCATGCACGTAGACCTTCAGGGACAGGGAGGCATGGTTAGCACAGCGCGGGACACGGTGTCCGAGGCCGTAGCGGGTCCAACATCATGAACTTTCTTAGATTGGGGGATCCCATCGATGGAGGGGCAGATGCAATCCGCTGGAGCCTGAGCCGGCTCTGGAGTGACCAATGCCGCCAGGAGACTGAGAGAAGGATGAGTCCGTAGCCCTGCCCTGCTTCGACGAGATGCAGTCTGCACCTGTGAAACCACGGGTCCATCGCCGCCAGTGGGAATGAAATCTGGATTTTGGCACCGCAGGTCCCGCATCGGAGAGAAGAGCCCCGCATGCTTGGGCTGATTGTGCTAATCTCAATGGAGCGACGATCTCTCTGACACCGCAGCTTGTCGTTGACACATTGAAATCTAACACAAGAAACTCTCCTTGACAAAGCGGTCCTATCGCTGCCCCTCTGTGCATGGCATCCCCAAAGAGCGATAAGTCATGCTCGGCATCCCGAGTGCGCCTGCTGGCGACAGAGTTTGCATGGCGTATGGAGTACCTTACCTTGAACTTCTGTATGCTTCTTCTTAGGATCGCAATCGCATCAGCTGCGCATAGTGGGTACCCTTGGGTTTCTGGCATGATGCGAATCTTCGATGCCGCCGGATTGTGAGTAGTCTTGTCTGCTGTTGGTAAAGTAATCTCTGTGCCGCCGGTGACATCAAGGACTGTGCTATTTCTAATTCGCATAAGATCAGCGAGGTGTTGGAACTTGTGAGCCCCCAGAATTCGTATATCTGCTAGGCTCAGGAGTCAACAGCTCTAAAAATTCGAGCACATTTGTGAAGCAACCCAAAGTAACCGAGGTTGCCAGAGATCTTTCGACAAAAACATGTGAGGACATCAACTAAAATTTGTAGGTGAATCTGGTACCAGGGTCGACCATATATTTCAGCATAGTAAACCCCTCCCGGAGTGGGATCCGTCGATTTGTACTATGTAGGCGAATTGGAAGCTGTGCTGACTCTGCTAAGCCCTGGTGCGGCAAACAGCCAGACTTTGGCTAGGCGAGCGAGCGTTATTATACGTACGTACCTCTCTGCACAAGCATTATCGAGTGTGATTGTGTAACCTCTAGCGGAGTCAATTACGACACAGAGTCAGGCAACGAACCGTTTGGTCGTACATCCGGGCACATCAACGGAAGCCTTGCTGATGAGTTAGCTTTGTTCACTAATCACTTCTTCAATGATAGAGAGAAGCAGTTTACCTCAAAGCCTTGCGGAACAAGGTACGTTGTCGACTGTAGATGGGCAACCATTGCCATCGTGTGAGGCTGCTCTTCGGTCCAGGGTTGCCTCGACGCCGTTGGTCTGCTGCATTGTGCCCTGTCAGAATCGATCGACCCGACCCAAGTTAGCCACATACACCTCCAGAGGCTAGTGCGGAGGCTTCGTTGTCAGTAAAGTTGGGAGGAACAAGCAGGCCATACCAGTAACAGCCGCAGACGTACCTAGTATCCGTAGCCTCTTCAAAGACGGGTGCTAAACAGTAGGTGGAAGCTGGTTCCGACGACAGGTTTTGCCGGTTCGACAAGAGCTGCGGTCCGGGGAGGATCCATGTGCTTTCTCGCGTGGCCGGGCATCTGGCCTCGTCCACTATTCAGAATGACACCTTGCGTATCCCGGCATCAACTAGGTCCACAAAGCTGTCGGACTTGCTACAGTACGTAGTCATGATAGTCACTACTGATGCAGTGATGTCTTGTTTATGCGCAAAAACGAGCCCCGAGTAAGCCGAAAAAGTATTCGTCGGGCAGGCAAAAATCGATCCGAGTGTACCACAAGGAGGCTTACAGACGGATGATCTTCTGCACATATGTTATTCAGTGTTCACATCGGAATTCTCCTTCGCAGCCTCTGGCGGAGAAACTCAGGTGCGGCTAAGACTCCCTTACGCACAGGCGATTATTCCAGAGCCCAGACGTGAAAATGGGGGGCCTGGAACAGGTAAAAAGAACATGGTGCTAGCAACATGACAACCATATCCCAGTGCAGCCGGGGTATGTGAAACCTGACATTCACACTCCATGTCAAAAATAAGGACTGTTCAATTGTTGCCATGCTAGGTAAGGATATGTTTGGTATCCCGTTGACTGGCCATGAGACTCGAGAGGATTGCCTTGCTTATTCTTCAGCTTGACGAATGTTTAGTGATGTCGGTATCTAGATGGCCACCTACGAAGGAAGTGCCGTGGTATCTGTATGGTCATGGTTGGGGCAACAGAGGTTGCTCGCCTGCGGATAGAAATGGGTTTCAGCATTCTTGGAAAGTCTGTGGGAAAAAGGAAACAATTCGCCACTTGGGTCAATATCTGCCCGTGTACGGCGTAGTGTTGTCGATCGCGACTGGCGGTTCAAAGTGGCTCTCTGTGACGCCGTTGGTGTTGTATGATGGATCACATTCTCGTGATCGTTGTGAACCTTTGGGCGGGCAAACTAACGTGCCTGAGTACCGGAAAACGGAGGGTAAGGTGTCGTACCGTTGTGTACCGCGCCAGTCACGTATGCTTTACTCCGTCAAAGCATGGTAGTCGAGCCAATGCAGGTTGCCAGTCGAGACGCGGTGCGGATACTCAAGTCTGGCTGAGACGTAGATCTTTGGCGGTTGCAGATCTGACGAACTGAAAATTACAGGAATTCTGCGAGCCTTCGTCATTCGGGTTGTGACGCTTGTATTTCGTTGGGCATCAGTGCTCAAGTACGAGAGTTGGCACCTTGGTGAGCAATTGCCGGACGCCAGCCTGGTCCCCAAGGGCATGCCGCAGATGCGGCCACTTACGGATAGACAGCTCCTAATCAAAAGAGGCTTGGGAGGCTTGAGATGAGACCTGTAGATCCTGCAACTCTTTCGTGGGTGCATTTGAGTTTGTGGAGCCGAAACATCGGAAAGCTGAAATTCAGAAAGGTAATGATCGACACCAATAAGCGACTGGCTTGCAGGCATGTTGTCCGAAAACTGTGCGTGCAAGTTACGGTCCCAGGGGTCGAAAAATCTATGAAGTACGGATAGTCGTCAGTTCGCAGAGGCTCAGCGGACCAAGTCATCCAGCCAGTCTAAGGTCGGCGACACAAGTGGGTAGAGCAGCAGCCTTGCTGTCAATTCGTACGAAGAAAGAATATCCGTAGCGCCTCTGGTAACGGGTCTGAGCTAGGCTCAAGCGATGTGCCGATTGATACTTACTACGTAGACGAAGCACTGACTTTTGAGCCGCACGTATCAAGGGAGCTAAATGTGTGGTATCTTGGTTGTCAGATGCGATTAGTATAAGCAAGCCGGTGCGAGCTCTGTTAAAAGCCTAGCGGACCCAGCTTTTGGTCCGTCATAGCTGCAGTCGGCTGCTCTTTGGAATGACAGCGAATAAATGCTCGTGGGATACGGATACAAATAGGAGGTTGCCGGGGTATATGCAAACTTGGGCGGCAGAACGGCAGGGCTGGAGACTCCATGCTTGAAGAACACGTCTTCGCCATTGGGTAGGAAAGACATGATACGATTCAGTATCCCAATCGACTGGAAGGAGGGGCCGGAGGTGGAGAGATGATTTTGTGGTTGACTGGCCGAGTTGAATGGTTTTAGTATCCCCGTTCGTCGCGGATGCACCGAGACGGGGCCAGGAGATGCGCTAAGAACCGTTCAGGAAGGACCCCTGATTTCTATCGACAACGTTGGTCCCAGAAGCCCAGCAAAAGTGGCGAAGTGGGTGGGTAATTGGCGAAAATCTAGCCGACAATGAGTTCTCCGTATGTGCATGGTGCACGAACACACTCGCCGAACGAGGGAGGTACGGGTACCGGTAGATGGACAATCTGGACGCTAGGTCGCCAACTTTCTAGGTGAATACGAGACGCAAAGATGCGGCGAGATAAGTGAACGCGATGAGGTGTGGTAACTTGTAAGTGGTGGTGCTGGGCTTCCATTGGCTTGCGGTGCGAGTTCACCTACATAGTCGGACCGGAAAGAGTCAAGCAGGCCGATATCTTGGCCGCGTGCCGGCGAGCTGCGTTGAAATTTGTTGGCAGTGTTCCGCAAGGTAGGAATAGCCGAAGGCTGCTTAACAACGATGTGATCCAGGGCATGACAGTCGCGGATCAGGCTGGTCCGAAGAGGGAGGCAGTTGACGTTCCCCGAAGAGCTTGACTTGATGCCATGTGAATGGTAGCACAGCATTGATGGTGAAGAGGCCAAGGTAATTCGCGGCCGCAACTTGAGGCGATATGTCCGTACTTCGCACCCAATATGCCGGTCGAATCTCTTGTCCAAACTAGAGGGAGCTCATTCTGCCGGGGAGGCTTTGGTGTAGTACCATGATCGACGCAATCGTGAGTGAGGCATCTGCAGGGAGCGTCGTTCGCATGTCCAATTCTGATCTTTTTCTGTTCTCTGTCCGTGAATCGCGGAGAAGAGCAAGGGGCTTGCCTTGGATTCGTTTGAGAATCGGTAGCCTCCATGTCTCTGACCACTCGGAAACAAGGGCGACAGGAGTGGCAAAGCCTGGGATTACTCTGACATCTGCAAGAAGTCGAGCGGTTAAGCTAGATGGAGACCAGGGTGTAGAGAGTTGCATAGTGAATGCAGCAGGTCAGCAATAGAAATGTGCAGTGTGACCAATTGTAGAGCGACTTGCCGCTGGTCAATGTGAACTATCACAAGGCGAATTCTTTCAACCAGATTTTCGGAGTGAAAATCTGACAAGCCAAGTTGGATTGCGCGAGATGATGGGGTGGGCCGGGGGTATTGCAGCAGGAGGGAGTATCCGTACGAATCTAAGAAGAGACTCGGTCAACGACCGCCAGTCATCCAAGCTTCTTGCCGCGTTGGGAGTAGAGACATGGGCATGATATGACGTACGGGGGGTAGTGGATATGAGCTGTCGATGGTGTCTTGGTGGGTGGATGGATGACTGGATGGCCTGAAGGGAACCGGTATTGCAGAGGACCGTGAGGACGGTGTGCCTGGGACCCGATACCAACATCGGTGACCAACATGGGTTCGTGGCTACTTGGACAGAGGTGCAATTTGGTGTCAAGGTTCGGTCGGATGGATTTTCTGCCCAGTTCCTCCGGGACCCTGACAAGGACAGGAACCAAGGGCGATGAAAACCGAAAAAGGTAAAGGATGTGACAGACGTGCAACAGGGCCAGCCATGACGGCCGATGGACCGGGACAGCTGTTGAGACTTGGAGAAGCTGAAGGGGTGTGGTCACTGTGGTGTCGGCCAAAAAGGATGATCGAAGAGAGTTGAAGGATCGAAAGTACACTACGAATAGGTAGGTACTGGTGGTTGGCCAGGGGCATGCCGCACCGGGCGGAAAGGGAGAGAGAGAGATACACACAGACAGAGAGGTAGATGAGGTGGCAAGTGGGGGACAAAATGGATTTCCGCTCGAGCCTTTTTGCCGTCACTTTCTGCCACAATTAACACTACCATAGCTACATAAATTAATATTTGGAAAAATGGCATAAGATAGAGAGTATACTCCGTATTATAACATATATACCCAAACTTTCGGGTAAGAATAGGGTTTCTCTATAGTGTAAGTAGTAAAAAGAAGCACCTTCTAAGTTGGATGGGAGGAAATCGACTTTGTCCCCCACTTGGGTGGGAAATAACGAAAAGAGAAGGGGAAAAAAAAAAACAAGGAAGGTGGAGAGAAAGCTCCCACGACGGGGATCTGAGCGCACGATCTTTGGTCGGTTTGGTGGGTGAGGGAGGTGGTGGGTACGTGTCTGGCAAATGCTCGGATGGATCTGGACTACCTAAGAGAACGGGCCCCATCTTATCCGATTTCCCATCTTTCCATCTTTGTGAAATTCCCGCCCAAGGCCACAAGGCAACAGGGAAGGGGTCACTCACCTGTATCCGTACGGAGTCACGGGGTACCTCATGTACTTTTGTACTTGCACTGGGGGGCGTGGGTTCGATGGACAGGCGGGCGGCTTCCTCCCGTCGATGAAGGTCACCTCACCCTTCATTTTCAGTTTCGGGCACTCTCGTTCAGTTCCCTCACTGTGAGAGAACTGGGTCGTGAGTGGAGTTCATCAACAAGTGAGCTACTCACGCTACTTTACTCGTTTAGTGCTGCATGACACAATACGATCATCTACATTGCCCATGGAAATATCGCTCTCGGGTTCCAGTTGGCGAGCCTCGACTACTCTGTATGCATGCACTCCGTACGAATACCTACAAGCTGGCGGTTGCCAATTTGAAAGGTCCCGATACTTTATGGCAAGCAACCGAGGTCAAGTTATGTCTGAAGGAATTGAAGGCTCCAAAGTGTCCACCTCGAATCATTTTGTGAAAAATGGAAATAAAATTTTCTGGGAGGATGGATACTTGACCTTATAAGGCTTTAAGTAGGCGTGGGCTACAGCACGTGGGCACTGTAGGGAACTCCAGCGCTGTCTACTCCGTACGGGTTCCCGTCTTCTGCCCAGAGGATGTTCAAGGTATGACTCCCTGTACTCTCCATATCATACTTGTTACAATTCTCCCCTTCCTCCGTCCTCTGTCTAGGACGCTCTTTTCCGCTCGTCTTCCTGTCTGTGGCCACTTCAAGTGGCAGGGGAAGCGAAAGGAAACGTTCCTTCCTTGACATGACATGACCAGAGCCCATTCCTTCCCTCGAGATATCCAATCCAATCCTCGCCTTCCTCTGAAAGAGAGTTTGGGACGGCGACGCATCGGCGCGGCCCATAATTGGGCCGAGAGGTGACAGGTTGAAGCCTTGGTGCCTTAGCCCCTTGGCCTTGGTGCCTGGGAGGCTGGGAATATGTGAAGCCGAAAAAAAAACTTATCCAGACGTCAGTCCAGTCGGGTTCGGACCTAGGTCCGGGCCCTCTATCCCATCAACACACTTCCCCATTGCTTGCGATTCGCTTCCCAACCTATTACCCTTTGTTTCATCGCGTGGCAGAGAGATGTCCATCATCACCTGTCAACATCCAGCTCAGACAGCAGCAGGTCCTGTATCTGTACGGATACACACGCCCATGGCGACCATTTGGAATATCAGCGTGCTTCAACTTTACCAAGGCAATAGCTCTAGAGAGCTCCGAGTAGCTCTGGGAAGCTCTGAGCAGCCGCGGGCAGCTTCGAAGCATTGGCCGTCTCGCTGATCCCCTCTTCGAATCTCATTTGAAAAAAGAGCGACACCGGATACCTTGGAGAGTGACAAGAGTGACAAGAGATCCATCCGGATACGTACACCTGCCACCATCCTTGCGAGTCACCTAACGACGTCCCCTGGTCACGGACATCTGACATCCAAAATGTGCCGCCCCGGTACGGATACCTCGCCCATTCATCAAGCTCATGCCGCTGCCAACCTCACAAGGACAGGGTGCTCGAGGGATCACACGGGCTACCTTGTGCTCGAGCTTCCGGCGCCGAATCCTTGACGCTTCCCTTCCCAGCGCCAGTTGTCTTCCCCCTCTTCCAGTCTTTCCCCACTCCCTGTTCGTCAGTCTCCTCGCGAATGGACCCTTGCCCTGAGGTGTGCGCCTGCTCAACTGGATGCCTCCAAATCCTGGGGCCGTCACAGTGAACAATGTCGCTGTTGTCGAGGGTGGTCCAGGGGCCCGAGGAGAGTCACCGCCAGCTTCGTGACATCGCTAAGAGGAAGATGGATCAAGGATGGCTGGAAAGAAATGAAGGCTCCAAGAGACAAAGCACAGTTTCCATCTCACGCCACTGCCTGGCATCCAACCGGCAATCGAGACGCTGCTCCTGTCACGTTCTTCATCGACGACGTCGTACGGATACTCCATACTAATGACTTGTCCACATCGACGTTTCTGATTCTCGGTTAATCTTGGGCCCTCGATCGTTTTGTCGCTAGTCTTGACGCAAATTATCACCGCCTGGTGCAGTCGCTCTTTTATCTTACCGAAATGGACGGGGATGGTGTCAACGAATCTTCGATCGGAGTACACCTTTAACCGTTGTTATTATTCTCCAGCTCGTCGTTGCTACCACTTCATCAGGTCAACACCAGACGTTGATGCCGACGCTATCGCTACGGGGAACTGTATTCCCCTACAGTCCCCCAGTCATCACCGATCATGAACCCAGCGAGCCCCTGCCCAGCCGCGGGACCCCCTCAACAGCCAATCTGCGATCCAGCCGTGACAGCGGGCCAATTATCGTGGGGCGTCTCCCATGCGCTGCAAAAAGTCGTACCATTTTCTCTTCGTCATCAGGTATTGCCATGTCCCTACTCGACTTTTGTAGTCGAAACTACAAGTGGGTTCTGAGAGCCTGGAACTCGGAACTCTCCAGGATTTCAGTGCTCCCAGCGAGGATTCAGTCGACTGTGCGTCGTAAAACTCTGATATAGGCTGAAGTTCAGTGCCTGGCGAGCCCTTCCCGGATATAAGAGAAGCCTTAGGATGGTGGCTCGAGTAGCCTAGGCACACAGCGACCGCACGGAGCGGAACATATCCCAAGAGGTGAAGCTCCGAATGCAGGCCATCTGCACATCAGTCAATCAATCGAACTTCTGTCGCCGCCAATCTGGGTGCTAAAACTTCCCCCCTTCCTCTCACCCCGGCCCGTCGACTGGATGGATACCTTGACAATACGATGCGTTACCTGACTCTCCCGGGCCCCCCTGTCTGCTCTGACCGGTACATGCACGCGCATCTCCCTCCCTCTGGCCCCAGGCGGTTCAGTCCAACACACCGCACATCTGGTCCCCCAGGCATCGATTCCATGCCATGCCCTCCCCCCACAATGGAACCCCAAGAACTCTTACTGCGTAGGGAAGGGATCTGGTCCATCAGGAGGAAAGTGAGCAAGGAGTCAAGAACGTTCCGCCGTTGAGGCACTGTACCGAAAGTCTCCTGTGATTCCCCCCTGTTGCCGCGCAGGTACCTCTGTACTTTATCACAAATGTATGCGAAATATACGTCCACTCACTGCTCAGAAATCATACCCAGCCCTGGGTGTCAGTCCGTCGCTGATCTCATAATATCTCTGTCATTTCCTCCCATAATTCGCACAATCGCGTTTCCTCTCTCCCTCTTCTTCCCTTTTCTTCCTGCTCCTCTCCCCCAGTGCTCGCACACACATATCCATCAAAATTCCTTCTACTCGGACATTTCAAACCACTCAAACTCCCCTCGTCGCCTCAAGTTCAACCGCACCAACCCATATCTTTTTGTGTCAGCCTCAAAAGGCACAAAATCGGCATACTCCAGCCGGGTGATAGACCCCCCGCGCTTAGACAGACGATCTCTCATCGCATTTTGCCTTATCCGCCGACTCATCTGGGACAACTTGCCGGGCGACAATAGAGGCACAAGCGCCACCATATGAGCCACGGCTTCTATCCGACGTACGAATACACATCTGTCTCTTCAGCACTTTGTTGAAGGGCGCCCGCTTCACCAGGCACTAGACTGGCACCACAAAGCATCGGCATCGAAAAGAAATTCAGACTTCCCACCGGTCCAGGTTCACGGTATCTTCGCGAGCCCACGCCCCTCCGCGAGTCTCACTCCCAGACCCAGTTGAAATTAGCCCACTCGGACTAGTCTCGACGAGGGATTCTAACAGTGTGTCTTGGAAGAAATATCCAAAAAGCCGCCACAAAGAGCAGCGTGGTAACTTGACCAACGCTAGGCGGCTTTTCTTTCTCAGCTCCGGATCTTTCGACACACCCAACTGGAGCCAGCATCACCCCCGATCTATCGCCCCCCTCCTCCTTTCCCACCCCTTTCTCGATACACCCCCCCCCCCCCCTCTGAGCCCAAGAGAAAGATACATGCGGTGACCTTCCCGTCCCGCCACCACGCACCACACACGCGCCCGATAGCTTGACCAGATCTTACCTACCGGGTACCCAGCTGGAGAGAGAGAGAGAGAGAGAGAGGTTCGACTAACCTAACCTAACCTAACTTCGTCTTCTCGTCCCAGGCCAAGCCACACCACACTACAACTTACCTTACCACCACTCTGTCTTTGGTTTGTTTAGTTCCGCTCGCCCATCTTTCACTTGCACTCTCTCTCGTCTCTGCAACACTTCTTCCCTGCCCGGTTTTTATTCTTACATGACTCTGAGCCTCCCACCTTGGACCGTACTCCCTATCATCTCCACCCATCTACACCAAACTTCACCGGACTCCCGTCTTGACACCGACCTCACGGACTAAGGCTCGCTCTCGTCCCCTTACGCTTTGGTCGAGTCAGATGCACAGAGACCTACATTCGCATCTGGGGTTTTAATCACCATTCATCTGTTCTCCCGGCAAACCCGCTATGGAAGCGGGCGGATCTGGTACTAGGCAAAGGTAGGTTCGATTCTCGTCGACGCCCACCCCCCCTTCGGTCTTGATTTGTTTCCACGTCCTGCCCCTAGACCAAACATTAATCAGACCTTTTTCTTTAAACAGCCGTCCACCTTCTGCCAGCAACCCTGATCGCTTTGAACCTCGTCATCTCCCACCCAGAGAACCTCTCGATAATAGACACTACCGTGACGGCCCCGCCATGGCGACCGCAGCCCTTATTAGCCCGAGCTCCCATTACGGTCATCCCTCGTCCTTCTCCTCCGGCTATCAACACCATCCAGCTCCAGGACCAAGCATCGCAGGCATGATTTCGCCGATTGAACCTCGACGACAATCAGATGAGTCGGAGACTCCTCACCGACAGTCGCTCCCTTCGCTCTCCGAGGTTATCTCTGGTGCGAAGCCCAGTCCTTACCCCCCTTCTCAGGGTTCCAGCATGTCGGGCTCGCAAAGCTTCCCCTCGCCCTTTGCTCCTGGGCCTCCGAGGTCCTATGCTGAGTCGACGGACAAGAACTCTCCTCGACCTCCTATTCCTGCCTCGACATTTCCGCCGAGGCAAGACGCTCTCCCAGCCATCTCAGAGCCGCCCTCGAGACCTCCTGTTTTCGCAGGTCGACCACCTGCATCACTGGGCGGGTTCTCTGGCCCTCAGCCTAGCCCGCCTCTCAAGCATGAGCATATGCGCGATATGCGCGAGAGCGATCCGCGCGCCGCTGAGAACGCTGGCCCGTATGCGCAACACTCCATTCCACTCCCGCCGACGGTATATCCGCATCCCCAGCATCCCAGCCAGCTCCCGCCAGGACAAGTCCCGTTGCCGCCTGCATATCCAGTCTCCCCGCGTCACGCTGGTCCACCTCCCCCCTTCCCTTATGAGGCCCAGCGCCCGACAGCGCACAGAGAGGACCCCGAGTACGGCCCTTCACGGGTGAGGACACACCTCGACGCGTGGGGGTATCAGGATTGCTTTTCTAGAGTGAGTGGCCCTGCTGAAAACTTTTGTCCGTCAAGCTTACCAATAAGTTCACTCAGATTGGTGCAGCAACAAGAACGATCTTTAACTTCGCCGAGGCCTACGGCAAGATTGCAGCGGAACAGCAAGGCGCTCATCACCCATTGCACGATCGACTTCCCACCGAGCTGGAATTGAACGACATGATCGATAACGTGGAGTACATCCGGAATTCGCTAGACTCGGTGCGACAAGTCGTCAAGGAGAGCAACGAACGTGTGCGGGCAGCCGGAAAACCGAAGGGCTACGATGATGAGGACACACCCATGTACGACGGCATGAACAAGAACAACTACGGCATTACGGAGGTCAAGAAGCGTAGAGGGGTAAGCTTTGTCAACGAAACGTTTGTCCCCGTAGAACCAGAGGGCTAACTCGGTGGAATAGAGAGCTGCACCTCCTGGGAGATGCCATAGCTGCAACCGAATCGACACTCCGGAATGGCGCCGAGGCCCCGATGGTGCCCGAACGCTCTGCAACGCCTGTGGACTGCACTACGCCAAACTCGAGCGAAAGCGCCAGCTCGAAGCTCGGCAAATCCGCCCCAAGCCTTCTGACGAGAGGAGCTGAGACTGTCTTGGTCCATAGGTGAACCGGAGACACGCTCACAGTACAAATTCCCGGGCGAGCTCTGACTTCACTGGCTGCTCTGCGACCAAACCGACACGGCGTTCGGCTTGGTTCGCTCCATTACCAACAAACAAACACACACATACACACATAACAGGATACCCTTCACTGCCTACCGGCACCGTCATCCATCATCCATCTAGCAGCGTCCACGTTGCATTATCTTCAGACACTAGCAACAAAATGGCTACACTTGACTTGGACTTTTCTTTTTCAATACCCGGCATCGACTTCATCTTGATTGTATATATCCTGCTCTTCAACATATTCATCGGACGGGCACCAAGGACCTAGGCATTCATCTGGCGGCGTTCACTACATTTGATCTCGATATTTTTCTTATCTTGTTTCGCCCACTCTTCCTGCAAAGGGAAGCGAAACATCGGCTTTTTAGACAAAATGAGGCGCCATACGAATCGGGCGCCACAAGACACGCCTTTGGAGCGAGCAACCGCAGACCCGACAGTCGATCGTTACCACAGCAAGCAACAACGGCTTATTTTTTTTCCTTCCTCATTTTCCTTACTGTGACTGGCAGAAGAGATGGTGTTTTCCCGGTGAGGAACAAGCAAAAGAAGCACGTCGGGAGGACGTGAAGCATATCGATCAGTCGTCTTGGGATGAGAAGTAGACGACGATGTCGGAGTCGTAGCTTTTTGAAGGAAACAAAATGGGGAACCTTTTCTTTATTCTTTTTTATTGTCCGATTTGGGCGCAAGGTCGTGCAGTGCAACCTTGGCATTTTATCCACTGTTGTTACACATATTCCTGGGAATCGGGATGGGGAATCCCTTTCATGCCACGGATCATGCGAGGGCACACACAACAACAACCACACAGTTTTAGCTGATTTTTAATTGTACGAGTAGCCTTACAAGGCGAGATACCACGGGAGGAGGGCAACGGCGGCGGCAGGTTAGGGACGGCGGAAAAGGAAGCTAGGAGGGCGGCTCAGTTGTGTCCTACCCTTTCCCAGCCGGATTCAAGAAATCTGATGAATAATCGAGACTTGAAGTTTCAAAAAACCTGGTTTCCACATTTTGCTCCCAACATGACATGCATAACATGAATAATAAGCGCGAGGAGTCAGACTCAAGTGGAGGGAGATCTGAATCATCCATCATCGTAAGCGAATCTCAGGGTTGCAAGAGATAGAGTAAGGTATACTGCTTCACTTGTGGCAATAGGTACATGACAAGTCCTGACGAGCAAGTTATCACCGACTGAACGAACTCGGTGAGCAATCGAAAGAAAGGGAGCCTGCTTCAACCGGGGGTGAAGGGGGAAGGGGAAAGGAGGGGGGGGGCGTGTTAGTGGATTGCAAGTTTGCTTCTTCGCCCTTTCTTCGATCTCGGAGGCACGGGTAGAAAATGTGATAAGCGGGAGCGGGAATCTCGGGGTGTTTAATTTTCTGGCGAAATGTTTGATGTGAGAAGTGACCAGAACTACTTTTTTACTAGCTGAGGTACGACAACGTAGGTATTCAACGTCAGGGTCTCCCGTCCCACGTGGTGTGTGTGTGGCCGCCGAGGACCTTACCTACCGTCCCCTCCCCTACCCTTCCGGACAACTCTCAGCTTGCCTCTGAACGCCCCGGGGAACAACGCCACAAACAGATGTCGGATTCGGTCCTGGCGTCAGTCGAGGGCAGGGTCTGGAAGGGGACGAGGCGGCGGGGGGGATTCTTCATGGAGCTTATGAGGCTGGGCTCTTTGTATTGTTGTTCTCGGTACTTGCTCTACCTTTGTTGATCGCCAGACCGCTTCTCTTCTCCTCTCGACTGGCATGTTGATGCCGAGAAATCGGATTCGATTCAGGTGGACAGGGTCCCTCCTATTCACCGCTTTGTCTCCAGGCCGCGGTGGCCAGATAGAGAGCATCAGATCGAATACTACAAGGGGCCTTTTCCCCCAATATACTCAAGTCACAAGGATTTCATGTGGAACATTGAGGAAAGTAGAGTGACAAAAGAAGTCTGGGATGGGACGGGGATGGGATGTTCAAGATGCCCGGCCCAACCGGGACACATAGATCGATCCAACTCTCATTTTTCCATTCGCAACCTTGGCATTCTTTCTGGCATAAGTGCCGTCGAACCGCGTATTCCAACTTGTATGCCGTACGGAGTAAGGAACGTCCCTGTAGGGGACGGTGGTGTAATGCAGATTTAGAAATGGGCAGCCCATGTGCGCTTAGGTATTGTTGTTCGCAGACGGGAAGGCGAGAAGGGATGGACCTTGGAACTTAAAGATTCCCGGGCCCAGAGATGCGAGTGCCGTGGTAGAGGTGAAGTAGATCGCATTTCCAGAGAGAGGAAGAAAGTGGTGGAGGGGACACAGGTTACAAGGCCTCTCCCTGTTTTGCGTTTGGTGATGTGGGCTTGAGCTTTTTCTCCCATCCAAGGAACGGGGTGTGTGGGTAGATGAATGGATCGGGGGTTTGGGACACGGCTCGTTGCCGCGCGGTTCTCGGGAGCCGATGAGATTTCCAGATTTTGTGTGCTTCATGTATACACACTGTAGACCCCATATGCTGTAGACCATGTGAAGTATCTCACGCTCTTGGGTCAACTTATTATCATAAGATGACGCATGAGACGAAAAGGATAAAAAGAGGTCAAGGTCCAGGGTGATCTCGCGAACGTGTGCAAGAAAGGGTTACGGGAAGAGAATTGGGGAAAGCGGATGGGGGGATACGGATAGGATCTGAATCTCAGCAGAGTAAAGAAAGAATGAGAAAGAAAGAGTGTCACTTGTCATGGTTTCTGATCTGATCTGATGTCTGTACAACCCAAAGGAAAAACTTGGCAAACCCGCGCCGCATCAAAGCTGGATTTGACATGATGTGATACCTTTCAGACTTCTTCTCCCCCACCGCACTGCCCCTCCATCCATTCATCAGCATAATGCCTGGTTCCCCCGATGTTGCACGAGAATACACAAACACACCTTGTATAAAAAGTATCAGCAGGTATACGCTTACTCGTTTGGTCGTCAGCAGTTGCGATCCGAGAAAGAACCAAACTTCGAGACATACACGCCCCCTCCCCATCGGATCGGATCGGGGGGATGTAGGCGCTGGTTTAGTCACCTACCTGTAGGCGAGGGGGGCTTTAGGTAGAGGTAGAACATCATATCATGTATATTTCCTTTCCAGGGTGCGTATTAAAAGATGTCTGATTAGATGGACTTCGCAAGGCGGAAAGCGCAAGGTGGCAAGGCACTGGTAAGGCGACCGCATATCGCTGATTTTTTTTCTTTCGGGAGCACAGTACTCCGTAAAACTGATCTCAAATGAAAAAAAATCTAAACCAACCCATTTCGTGATTTCTGGTGACACAAAGGGAAATTGGAGAAGAGGGGAAGGGGGGGCTGGACGAAGGGGAGCAGGGCTGTGTCTATCTATCCGTACATGCACTATCGCGATGTATAACGACGTGGTATCAATCTACATGGACGGCAGCTATACCGTGCAGTCGCACCGTCGCCGATTCCGCCGCGTGCAACGTGGGCAAGGTTAGGCTGGCAGGCAGGGTCCAATATACCCTCATTTATGGAGTTGGCAAAGAATAGAGGCACAGAGAGAGTCAGAGAAGAGCAATAACATGTGGCCAGTACCTTATGGGTGCTGTAACAAGAGCAGAGGGAAAAGGGTACAGCTGCCTATCCGTACAATACTCTGTACGCTCTGTACTTGGGTAGCGTGAGAGAGGGGGGGGCCCTAGATCGCAGAGACGGGTAGTCTGCTTGTTCATATCGGTGTTCGTGGGACGTCGTACGCGGATGAAGGGTAAACTTGCCTTTTCTTTGCTTGGTCTCTGTGCCACTGCCATCCTCTTGTGCCATGTCAAATCCTTCCCCTCTACCCGTCCCGTACAAGAACCAGAGCTCATTGTTTTTCCCGCGCCGTTATCTCCCCCTTGCCTATTCGACGGAACAAACAAAAAGCAGTATGCAGAAAAGTCTGGGGTGTACGTGTGTGCGTGTGTGCGTGTCACTAAAAGTTGCGACTTCAGCATTACACAAGAAACAGAAACTCACTACCACCTCCTCCTCCAACAAAAGAATCAGAAGGGTTGTTATAAAATTAGGCAGTCTGCGATGCATCGGCCGTAACTTACCTTTACGGAGCGAGCTTGGCCTGGCACTGGCACTGGGCCTGCGTTGTCGGTGCTGTACGTGCAGTGCGTCGTCGTACAAACCAGCATTACAGCATCATTCTGATGTCCAGGACATGAGAGCGAGCAATGCGAGCTATGCCCATGCGATTGCAGGTTGGGGTTTGAGGGGTGAAGGAGAGGGGTGCATCTTAGCGACGTCGCCGTAAGGTAAAAAAGTACGGATAAAACAGGGAGATAGATGAGGAGGGGGAGGTGTGGCAGCAATAAAACTGACAGACAAGCGCCCCGTAAACCACCCATTCGACTTTGGAGGTTTTGGTTGTTTCTCTCGAACCTCGAACCTCCAACCTCCAACCACCCCGGCCAGGCACGCCCTTCTCTGCCTTGCTCTCTGCGGCTACAGAGAAGTCTTCTTTTGCTTTTCCTCTCTCCCTAGTCTTTAATTCGGGGGCAAGGGGCGGGCGGCGGTGGCTTGTTCAATTCGCGATGCGCGCCGCTGCTGACTTTGTGGTATGTGAGCTGTCGCAACTGGTGATGTGTTCGTTGGGCCCATCTTTCTTGTTTTTCTCTTTAATTCCCTTTCGTCTCGTGCATCTTCCCGTAAATCGTTACGATCTGCTTTCCTTCCCCTTGCGGCTTTGCCTTTCTCCCGGCGATGAAGGGGGCGTGTCGTTCTTTTCCATGGCTCCTAGCGCACGGGAGTGGACGGAGGTGATGGATCATAGCTCGCCCCCTCACGCTGGGGCTCTGCTGTATCCGTACTTGCGCCGCAATAAAAAAGAAACTGCCTGACCACCCATCCCCTGCTGTGGCCGCCTACCTGCCGCAGTGTTGTATTCTCCAGGTTGATTCGAAAGAATCGACCGCCCGCAGAAGAACTGACAATAACAGGGACGATTAGAACGCTGCTTGGCCTCGTCCCCAGAAAGGTCCCCTACGTTCGGCCGGGGGGCGCTTGGCATGTGTTAAACCAACCACACGGCGGGCGTTGGATATTTTGACGGGTTCCCACCCCCCACCCCCATGGTGCCCTGTACAGACGAGGGTTCGGCTTCCTTGGGACGACGACGAGGATCTTATCGTCGTGGTTCCCTAGCTGACGGGAT